GATATTTGGTAACAAATTAACTTTGCCAAATTGCCCTCCAAAACCCTTGCAAAACCTTAATGATGAGGGAGTGTTATGGCATTAGTTCAATGTCCTCAAAACATTAATTATGACTTCCGTGCAAAGGTTATAACTCACGTGAGGCTGAGAATATTTTTCATATATACAGTGACAATTCCTTTGAGTAATTCCCTATTCAAGTCTTTGGCTCATTTTTCTATTAAACTTTTCTTCCTCATTTGCAAGAACTCTTGCCACTGGTAATGAATAGTTTTCCAGTTTGCCTTTTAAATGTTTTAATGAGTTTTTGACAGGCAGACATTGCTAATATTTATATAGCCTCATCTCTTACCCTTTTCTTTCCTGGCCTGCTGCAGTGAACGTTTTTTACAGGCAACATGATGTTGCACCAAAAGGACATACTCTGATGTATTTACCCATTCCCTTTTCATGGGCTATTTACATAGTTTCCAGGTTTTCCTCTCGTAAATAACATCATGATGAAGATCTTTGTGCGTAAGTCCTAAGAATGGAAGTATCACGTCCAAGGATATGTTGTAAGTTCTTGATACAGTTTGTCAAATTACTATTGATACCCTACTTTCCAGGTCCCACACCCCAGAACTTGCCACCCCAGGATCGACACTCCAGATCCTCACATCCTAGGCACCCGTACTCCAAGTCCTGCTGATGGACCCTTACTGGCCAGCTTTGTATAGCGGCAAGCAAGGCGAGAGGGGTAAGAGTGGGTCTGGAGGGGCAAAGAGAGGTTGTCCAGAACACCCTAGATGCTCCTTCTGCCTGGAAGGAGATCTTCCCATGGAACCTTCTTAAGATTTGGGTCTCCCTTCAAATGGCACCTGAAAGCCCTATACTACCCCCTTCATCTAAAAGATGTACATGATGACAGATCTAAAAAAGCCTCTGACTCCAAATATTCCCTATCACATTACACTGTTTCTTTTTCGTGAAGAACACATATTTGTATCCAATACTATCTTTTTCTTTTACATCTTTATTGGAGTATAATTGCTTTACAATGGTGTGTTAGTTTCTGCTTTATAACAAAGTGAATCAGTTACACATATACATATGTTCCCATATCTCTTCCCTCTTGCGTCTCCCTCCCTCCCACCCTCCCTATCCCACCCCCCTAGGTGGTCACAAAGCACCGAGCTGATCTCCCTGTGCTATGCGGCTGCTTCCCACTAGCTATCTATTTTACGTTTGGTAGTGTATATATGTCCATGCCACTCTCGCTTTGTCACAGCTTACCCTTCCCCCTCCCCATATCCTCAAGTCCATTCTCTAGTAGGTCTGTGTCTTTATTCCTGTCTTACCCCTAGGTTCTTCACGACATTTTTTTTTCTTAAACTCCAATACTATCTTATTAATTCACATGTTTAATTTCTGTCATCATCTTGTCTGGTTTGCTAACTGCAGTATCTCCAGCACCAGGAACGAGTCCTTGGCACAGAGAGAGTGGTTGTCAAATTGGCCGCTCATCAAAATCACCTGTGAAGCTTTAAAAATCCACCTGCCTCCCCAATCATTTTACCAAGAAAATGTTAGATATCATTTTCTGCAGGAGATACAGAATGTAAGAGATGTTCTCAAGCATTTATTCATTGCTGTGTAGCTGGATCCTCATCAAGTCCTTTGTAAGGCAGTGAATAGAGTGTGGTTGTGAAAATTATGGAAATTGTTGGAATTCTTTAATAAAACTACCACGTTTGGGAAAATGCACTAGAAGAACTCATCCAAGTGTGTGTGTTTCCGTGTGTGTGTGTGCTGGGTTGTGTCCAGAAGCAGAGGAGGGTTAGGTTTGCTTGTATCATCTGTGCCTCTATTTTTTACTATAGAAATGTGACATGCTAAATACAGGGTAGTGTGTTGTAAAACTTTACTGCATGAGAATAGATCAGCATACAACTAAGAATTTTCAGGAAGAACTCATTTAACTTAAAGACTCTTAGTTTGTTTAGGAATCTTAAATTTTGTATGCCACTGTAATTGATAAAGAAACAATAATAATGTAGTCACTGTAGTTACTACTGTGTTGCCCACGTACATATACCTGTATTGCTTTATAGATAAACAATATATTCCAAGGGAAAAAATTCAGTATTCATGCTTCTTTCCAGATCAATTAAACCAGAATCTCTGGGGCTAGAATTCAAGGCACTGGTACCTTTTAAAACCCCCTTGGTGATTCCAAGGTGCAGCCTAGTTTGAGAGCCACTGACGTAAAGGAACTCAGGAGTATTTGTTGGATGGATGGATGGATGATGGAAGGATAAAAGGATACTGTGAACCAGAAATTTGGGGCTCTAGTCCAAGCACTGCCAATAACATGCTATGTGCCCTAAATTGTATCGCTCTACTTTTCTAAACACCCACAGTTGCTGTCTAACTTCCTGCTTCAAGACTTCACAATTCCCCTTCTTGGTTACAGTAAGAGCCCTGGAGTGGAAGAGCTGGGAGAAACATGAGGACAGAATGACTGAGGCTTTGTAAAACTGTCACCCAGGATAAAGGTGATCCTAACAGGAAGCTCTTTACTATAGCAACTTTTTACCTGGAAAAGGAAAGTATCTGTGGAGTTCCCGAGAATCTTGCACTTAGAAGAACATCACACATCTCCGTACTGGATGTGCAGAGGAGGGACAGACTGATCCTTAATCCCCAAATACCCCACTAGGGAGATAAAATGTGTGTATGGGTACCCTGAGCCAGAAGAAGGGGAGAGATGCATTTATCTGAGCCCTCACAAACCTCCTCTTCTGATATTATCTGTTTGAGGTCTTCTCTAAGGCAAACCTTAGAGAAGGTTTGGGCTACTCAAACGTTCTTTCTTTTTTAATTGTTTTTCTTGTGATGAGATGCTCTTTCTTTTTTTTCATGTTTATTTAATTTATTAATTTATTTATTTTTGGCTGTATTGGGTCTTAGTTGTGGCACGTGGGATCTTTGTTGCGATGCACGGGCTCTTTGTTGCAGTGTGCAGGGTTCTCTCTAGTTGTGGTGCATGGGCTCCAGAGCACGTGGGCTCCGTAGTGGCGTGTGGGCTCAGTAGTTTTGGCACAGGGGCTTAGTTGCCCCATGGCATATGGGATCTTACCCCTGACCAGGGATCGAACCTGCGTCCCCTGCATTGGGAGGTGGATTCTTAACCACTGGACCACCAGGGAAGTCCCTACTCAAGCTTTCTTTTTATTTTTTCTTTTTTTATTATTTTTTATTGGGGTATAGTTGCTTTACAATGTTGTGTTAGTTTCTGCTGTACAGAAAAGTGAATCAGCCATACGTATACATATATCCGCTCTTTTTTGGATTTCCTTCCCATTTAGGTTACCACAGAGCACTGAGTAGAGTTCTGTGTGGTATACAGTAGGCTCTCATTAGTTATCTATTTTATACATAGTAGTGTATATATGTCACTTCCAATCTCCCAATTCATCCCACCTCCCCTGGTATCCATACATCTGTTCCTTACCTCTGTGTCTCTATTTCTGCTTCACAAATAAGTTCACCTGTATCATTTTTCTAGATTCCACATATAAGTGATATTATAGTATATTTTTCTCTTTCTGACTTACTTCACTCTGTATGACAGTCTCTAGGTCCATCCACATCTCTGCAAATTGCACAATTTCATTCCTTTTTATGGCTGAGTAATATTCCATTGTATATATGTACCACATCTTCTTTATCCATTCTTCTGTTGATGGACATTAAGGTTGCTTCCATGTCCTGGCTATTGTAAATAGTGCTGCAATGAACACTGGGGTCCTACTCAAGCTTTCTTGATTGTTGCCATGGCTATTTTGCTGGATTTTTTTTAATACAAATTTACTTATTTATTTTATTTTTGGCTGTGTTGGGTCTTCATTGCTGCGCACGGGATTTTTCTAGTTGTGGCGAGCAGGGGCTACTCTTCGTTGCAATGTGTAGGCTTTTCATTGCGGTGGCTTCTCTTGTTGTGGAGCACAGGCTCTAGGTGCATGGACTTTAGTAGTTGTGGGGCGCAGGCTGAGTAGTTGTGGCTTGCAGGCTCTAGAGCGTAGGCTCAGTAGTTGTGGTGCACAGGCTTAGTTGCTCTGAGGCATGTGGGATCTTCCCAGACCAGGGCTCAAACACATGTCCCCTACATTGGCAGGAGGATTCTTAAGCACTGCACCACCAGGGAAGACCCCCTGCTGGATCTTTAAAAAAAAAAAAAAAAAGGCATGCTGCCACCCTGACTCTGCTACTGTCACCCTACACAGACAGGATGGTTTCTTACTGGGAAAGATAGCTGCTCATGTTTATTTAAAACATTGCAAAGTCATTTACAACAGGGAAGTCCAGTGTGGCCTACCTGAGTCCTATTATTCTCCAGGCCCTATTCCCCAAGGTACTTTAAATACAGCTATTTAGGCTTGCTGCTATGTGAGATTGTGCTACCGGTTCCCTAGGCATCAACACCTGTCTGGTCATTCAACAATGGCTACAAATTATCCACCTTTAGTTCCCCTCATCCTATACCATCTCAAGGAAGGACAATTTTAAGATTACAAAGATAACACATCTGGGAAGTTACGAGTGTGGGCACCTTAGACACTGAGTTTCACTGGCTTCACAATGGGTGAGAGCAAAATATCACACAACACAGTCAAGAGAGTTCTCATAGCACCTTAATTTGCATATTCAAATTACTGCTAAATACTGTTAGCAATATTTACCAACTACATTTTAGAAGGAAATGGTCATTCTTAGGATGCTTCCAACAATTTGTATACTCTGGTTCCAGAGTAATCTCTGTTCTGTCAGGATAAACTCGAGGAGGAGTACAAAAGGCACAAAGAATTTCTTCAAGGACACACATTAACTGAGTACCTACTTTTTAAGATGCTGGGGATGCAGAGAGGAAAACACACACAACCTCTTTGATCTCAAGGGGCTCATAGCCTCACACTCCTCGCTCTGCCCCCTCCCCCCGCCCCACCCTACATACTCACAGAGGGAAGGATCTTCCCTACAGAAAAGTTTTCACATGTCACCTCTTTCTTCATCGCTTCAACAAAAAGGGCTGGAGAAGCCCATTATGGAGCGGGTGCGAGGGGCTTGTGGCTAGGGACTCCACTCCTTTACATAGTTGCCATCCTCTGGAACAGACAAGGGGTGCTTCAGGTAAATGATGTAGCTAAAATGACGTCAATACCGGAGTCGCGTTCTCAGAGATGACCTTCTCCTCAGGAAGAACCCGAAACTGGGGATGGTGGGGGTGAGTTCCCGGGGAACACGCTGCACTGGCTCGGACACTGGGGAGGCAGCGACCTGAAGAATCCTTCTTCGGGTACTCGGTTCCCTGGTCCGTATATCAAGAAGTTTGCCCAAGTGCGCGTTAATCATGGGACACCCCGATTCTGAGCCACAACGAGCCGGGTCTGAATCGCCAAGCTCATCAGTGCTCAAGGCTTGACCCGGAAGCAAGCGGGCTTCCGAAGTCCAGCTCGCGGAGAGGACCGAACCCACTTGGGGCATCTGATGCCCGTGAGAAGCAGAGACGGGACCCAGGATGCAAAATTTCCCCAAGATAGAAGAATAATTCCTTTTATAAAGCACCTCGAGGAAAATGCAGAGCCCCGGCGCGAAGCTCCGCAGAACCTGGAACTCGGCAGCCAGCCTGGACTGCAGCTCACGCTCCAGATCGAGTCCGGACCTCTCCCGGACCTGCCCTCGCGCAGGCGCAGTCGCGCAGCGCTCCCGCCCCAACGCGCATGCTCCGCCGGGCTAGGGAGCTCCCGGCCGGCGGCGGCGGCGGCGGCGGCGGCAGCGGCTGCGGCGGGAGGAAGTTACCGCTTTGCACTCCACCCCGGTAGCAGCTTCGGGGCTGGGGACAGCTTCCTCCGGACGCTCCGCGGGCTTTGCTGCCGCTGCACGGCAGTCCGACGAGATCATGGGGTTGCCCAAGGGGCCGGAAGGCCAGGGTCTCCCGGAGGTAAGGAACCCCGCTCCCGCCCTGACACGTCCGGGTTTCCGAAAGAGGGCCAAGCCCACGGGGCCGGCTGCGATTAGGGCGCCCCGCCCCCTCTCTCAGGTGTGTCCGCCGCCGGGAGCACCGGCCCTGTCCGCTGGGGGCCGAGCAAGTGTGGGCGTGGGCGGGGACAAACTTCAGCCGGTGCCGGGTCTCCCGGGACGGAGGGAGCCTTCCCAAACCGATACCTGCGCCGACGCAGAACCAGGCCCCGCGGGGCCTGGGGTCCCACCTCTCCGGCTTCCCCCGGCAGTGCCCCGCGATCCCCGGCGCCGCTCGGCTCGCCTCGAGGACAGGGGGTGCTGCGCCCAGTAGTCACGAGACGCGCGCTGGGACGGTCCGGGCTCGGGTTGTGCAAAGGGCGGTGACCTTGTGGCGCCGGCCGCCAACTCCCCGGGCCCACGGGGTCCTGGCGGCCGGCACCCGCCGCCTTGGTATCGGGAGGGAATGCCGCCCTGCATTTGTCCCCACGCCCCGCCGGGCCGGCGGGAGGAAGTTTGGGAGCCGTGCGGAGTGGCCGGGCGGAAACCGTCGCTGCTTCTCCAGAAGGGAGGTGTTTGTTATTAAGTACTCACTTGGTCCTGAGGGACAGGATGATCAACGGTTTCTGTATTTACATACACATTACCTGGAAGGAGAGGAAAAGTGCATTTCCTTTTGGCTGCAGATATCACTTAGCTAGGTGGTTTGCATAGGTGGTTTGCATCTGTCCTCTATTCCAATTGATTTGCTCAAAAGCTAGTCTAGTTTACTAGATTCCTGAAAGAAATGGAATCCACGCTGCACCTCTGTCCCCTTTCTAGGGTTCGGAAGCAGGCATTTGTCAGAGGGACTGATTCCTTGACATGGTGCGTGGTCCCTTCACACTTAGCTGCCTGTGGCCAATCTTGCTTCTTTTCCCCTCTCCCCGCATCCTTAGTTCTTAAATCCCACTAGTACCACTAATTGAGGGATCACTGTTCTGTGCATAAAAGCTGGAGGTGTACTAATGGAAGGACAGACTTAAGCTGTCAGTGTGTGTGCCCAGAATGCAAATGCATTTTGTTATCTCCAGAAAACCTAGCAAGTTTTCTGACGTTTTCATTGTCCCACTGTACTACCAGTAGAGTCTTTCTAAAATAAAAAACAACTTGCCCCTGTTTGTTCTTTGTTTAACCCTTCACTGTCAGGAAACTGGGTCTAATTTGTCACTTTTCCAAGTTCCTGGCAATTGGGAGGAAAACAGGGTGAATATAAAAATCCAATTATTATCACTTCGTTCAAAGACCAGTACATATGAATATGTCATTAAGCTGTCACTAGTCCGGTTAATTCATTAAATTCAATTTTGTAAGCCCTTTATTGTATGTATGTGAAGGATAGAGATATAGTTAGACGTGGCCCTGCCTTCCAGCTTATGTGAACTCCAGTATCAGACAACTGATAATTTAGTGTGCCTGGTTTAAGAGCTCACAGCATTCATCTTTATCAGAATTTTAGTTTTAACAATGGGGTGTATTACCCAGCCTGGTGACTTTTTATGGCTTAAAGAGAGGATGTTCTTTCATTCCCTGCACATTAGCCAGTGACCCTTTTGCATTTTGTTTTAGTGTTAATCTGTGAATTGAATTTGGAGTCCTTTTAACATTCTCCATTCATTGTCTCGTGCTAAAAGTTACTTCGCAGGGTGCATTGCAAAAGTACACTTCTCCATTCGTGGGATAAGTGGATGGGAAGCATGGGCCAGGCACCTGCCATGGTGTGGGCAGTGGGTGCTCATTAGGTGCAGGCTGAGGCAGGGATGCCCTTCCCCAGATGTCTTGTCCTCTTCTTGGAAGCGTTTTCATGATAAACGATTGAACGAATGAAGGGTTCCTGTTTTACATCCCGGGAGTTTTAAGAAAATACTTATATCATCCATTTTCCTTTTCTATACTATTTTTATGAACCATAACTATTCTTTATTTTCTCTTCTCTTTGTGTCTCTTGACTTGTAGATGGTTCTCAATCATCACAGATCTTTTGCCAAGGAAGAGAATGTGTGAATAATTAATATTTACTTTTGCATGTCTCCTAGGAATTAGTGAATGCTAACCTTCAGAATCTTTGATAGGCCAGACCAGGGTCCTTTGAGAGGGAAGTAAACTGAGCAGTGTTGCAAGGCTGTCTCTTCCATCACCACACACTGCAAGAGATTAAACAGTCACGTGAATAGTTCCATGTCCAGCTGTGTGCTCCTTCTTTTTTTTTTTTTTTTTTTTTTTTTGCGGTACACGGGCCTCTCACTGCTGTGGCCTCTCCCATTGCGGAGCGCAGGCTCCGGATGCGCAGGCTCAGCGGCCATGGCTCACGGGCCCAGCTGCTCCGCGGCATGTGGGATTTTCCCGGACTGGGGCAGGACGAAGTCGTGTCCCCTGCATCGGCAGGCGGACTCTCAACCACCGCGCCACCAGGGAAGCCCTACATGTGTGCCCCTTCTCCTGGCAGTTTGTCCTTTAAAATAAACTTGAATTTCCATTATCAGTGTCACGACTATGAAAACATTTTGTTAATACGGGACTGGCTTAGGCCATGCACTTTATGTAATGTTTGAGCATGTCATTCCATACTTAACAAGAGTGTTCTTGGGGCCTAATGCTGTTCAGAACAGAGGAGTAAACGTGGGTGGATAATATATGGAATATATGGGTCCTCCCCTGAACCAGCTAATAGTCTATTTGGAGAGACTGGTGTGTCCATTAACACCAGACATCTCACTCAGAAGAGGTTGATAATTGTATGAATGACGGACTATAAATAAAATAGAAATGCAGAGGAGTGACCACTTTAGGCTGTAGGGTTGACACTGAATAGGAGCTAGGGGTTGAAGGTGGTGTCTGGGTGGTTAGAGAATATCAGGAGAGCCGTGAAGGAATGAGAGTGAACAGGGCTTGTTTAGCTTGGCCACAGCCGTGTCTGTATTGTTTTGGCAGGAGGTAAAGGATGAAGCTGAAAAGATAGGTTGCAGCCCAAGATCTGAATGCCAAACCAAGACGTATGGAATTTATCTGCTAGACAGTGAATGATGCCTTAATGATGAGGGCTGGGGGCCGAGCTGAAGAGGGATGATGAGAAAGCTGTGATTTCGGAAGGAATGAGCAAGACAAATTAACGGGGAAGGAAGATTGAGAGGCAGTTGCCATAGTCCTGGCATAATGTGCAAAGAAAAGGGAAGGGAGGATCAATGTGAGCTGCGTAGTTAAGGAAGATTTAGCAGGCATTGTTGGGTAAGGGAGTAGTCAGAGTGGGTATGAGGATTTAAACCAGGGTACCTTGGCATTGTTTTCTGTAGAGAGGTAGTAGTTTTTTATTTTCTGCAATAATGGAAGTCAGGAAAGGTACAGTTCAGGAAAGTAAATGGAGGCAAAAGTACTGGAATATTTAGATATATTGAACTTGTAGATAAACAACCTGAGAGCAGAGGTAGGATATTAATTAAAATCATTTAAATAAAATCCTCATTTAAATGTATTAAGTGAATTTTTTATTTTTAAGGCAATCCTGTTATGTGGTAGTAATCTGCCCGTAATATATCTGGGTTGAAAGCCTTCCTTATATTTGCTGTAGAGATCAAAGTGCAGATGGAGACACATGTTTGAATTCTTTGTTCTTGCCCCTCTTGTCAGTAACTTCTAGGACCAAGGTGAGTATAAACTTAAACAAAACAGACTACCTGTTCCGTCTGAAAGGAGTTTATAATCCAGTCGAGAAGCCTGCCATACAAGTCACATGTTAGAGAACAGGGTGGTAATGGGCTGGAATCTTCCTTTCCCTGGATTCCTTCACACCTGATGAACAGTCCATACCACCTGTGCGCGTCTTCTCGCCCCCCCCCCCCACCACCACCACCTAAGACGATGAACAGCAGGTTAGGACCAGGGACCCTGTTCTGTGTGACTCTGGCAGCACTGTGTCCCCACGCTGTGGCATGAATGCCATGATACAGCCAATGTCACCTGCTCCTTGGCAATGAGATTGTGGCATCGGAAATATACCTGGTGTTCCTTTATCCAAGGTAGCTTTTACCAGCCTTTTGCTTTCGTTTTAGGTAGAAACAAGAGAAGATGAAGAACAAAACGTCAAGTTGACTGAGATTCTGGAGCTGTTGGTGGCAGCTGGGTATTTCAGGGCAAGAATTAAAGGCTTGTCACCTTTTGACAAGGTAAGACGAAGTCTTTCTAAGCGTTAGGCTAGTTTTTGTCAGGACGGCATGGTTTACCGTGGAAAGGAGGAAGAGGTTGTGTTTTTACTTTCTCTACGTCCTTGTTGCCATTTCTCCTGGATTCAGATTCATCATGGAAGTGTTCAAATTTCCTATTAAAAGAAAATAATCATGTATCCGTAACTACATCTTGAAGTCCTTTCTGTGCACGAAGCTTTGAGCTATACAGATAAGCAAAATAAATAGTTCCTTCTTTCAAGGAACTTAAAGCTTGGGTGGGGAGATAAAGTTTATGTAAGATAAAATAATTTGAGGTAATAGGGAGCTATCCCAAGTCGGGGCGCTCACAGACAATTGCCAGGTATTCTGTGGGTGGTAAACGCTGGGTTTAGAGGAGGAAGAAATCGCTATGGGATGAAGTCATTTAATTTAGCAGAACCTTGAACAGTTCTTATGCACAAGGCATGGTAGTAGGTGTTGAGGGCACAAGGATAAGAACAAAGGCCTTCTACCCAAAGAGCCTGACTTCTAAAGAGTAGGGGAGAGAGGCCAGTAAAACATCGTGCGTAGACTAAAGGGCACAATTCAGTAAATGCCACAGTGAACTATGCACAGAAATGAAGCATTCAGATCAGTTGGGGCAGGCCAGGAAAGCTTCCTGGTGGAAGAAAGCGTTGAGTCCTCCAGTGGGCCACGGCCCTGGCTGCACATCACAGATTCTTTTGTGATACAGATATCTAGGCCTCAGCCATTGAAATTCTGGTTTGTTAGGTCTGGGCTGGGCACTGTAATCTGTATTTTATTATGCATCTCACATGAGTCTACAGCATAGCCAGGGATAAGATTCACTGTTGTTCTTTTCTAACATCAGGCTGTGTCTAAAAACGTTTTGTTTCAGAATGGATTTGTAGCCTTAGTCTCATCTGCATCTCCAAGAAATCCCCTGACAAAACTAGAGCAAGGTTTCTCATCTCCTTTAGGTAGTAGAAAAAAATGAGATGCATGGAAATTAAGTAATGAGTCACAGAATGTCACCCTTGTTACCCACATATCTGGTCCATAAAATACATAATTCCTCTGCAGTCTGGCACTTGTCTATAATTGGATTAAGACTTCACCCAGCTGAGAGTGAATGTCTGTGCCATCAGTACAAAGAGGATCTATGCATCATAGGTCCGTTTAGTGATAGAAGTCAGCTTCTCAGTCCACCGGCCATGAGTCCAGTGCTCAGTAACTGCATGTGGCTAGCAGCAGTGTACTGAACAGTGCAGATACAGACCGTTCCCGTCTTTGCAGAAAGCTTTACAGTGTTCAGCAGTGCTGTGTAGGTGAATTGTCGTGGATGGAGTCAGGACATGTATTATCTCTCTGAGGGTACCCCATTTTGTATATAAAAACGATTTATATTTTATCTACCTTCCACTTCTTCCCCTCTTCCCAAACTAGGAAGAGAAAATAGGTATCTTTTTGTGTCTTTCAGGTGGTAGGAGGAATGACCTGGTGCATCACCACTTGCAACTTTGATGTGGATGTGGATTTGCTCTTTCAGGAGAACTCTACAATAGGTCAGAAAATGTAAGTTACCCGGCTTTCCATGGAAGAGGCTGAAGGGGGAGAAAAGAGCTAACTCTTGAGCGTGTGCTATGTGCCAGAAGTTGTGTTAGACGGTTTACCTATAGGCTGAAAGAAGCCAAGGTCACACAGCTAACATATGAGAGTCACCTAATGTTACTCTGATGTTATATAGGCTATTTCTGATGCTTTTCCTTGATCACAGTTTCTGTCGACTGCTCACGTATCTCTTGCCAAAGGCAGTGAATGTGGATGGAAGTTGAATAGGTGGGAGAAGGGGACTCTTTCCCTCCCCGTTGCCCCTGGGTAAGGCAGAGCCCCACTTTGCCTGCCATCGAGAAAAGGCAGCCTGGGCTCCTCGCTGGAGGTGTCACGGGAGGGTGCCCTGGCTGGTCGTCCGTAGCTCAGCAGGGGCTTGGTGATTTCATGAGACCATTGGGATCCCCAGTTCTGCTCAGCCCTGCCCTGGGCAGCCATGTGACCTTGGGCAAACCTTAGTTCTCTTTTCTGTAGGAAGGAGGGTTTGTGATCTCAGATCTGTATGATTCTGTGACTTACTTCCTCATTTTTCTGAAGCCTTATCCTCCCCTAAATGGATTAAAGATAGTTTACAAACACGCATGGGGAGCAGTAATACTGGAAAAGTGAAGCAAAGCAAAAGGAAAAAAAAAAGGAAACAAAAGGCAGAGTTGAGGATAAGGGACACACCTGTGAGGGGCCATAAAGGCCCTGTTTTTCCAAAGGTGGGACACAGATTTGACTGCGAAAAAAAGAAAAAAACATGCTAAATTACCCAATATACAGTTTCCATACAGTAGAAGAAAAATAAGTCCCTGTGAATCACCAAAATTCTTAACACTAAGACCAAAAGGCGTCTCTTGGCTCCTTGTTAAGGAGGACATGCTGTTTGACACAGAGATACTGTCATCGGTGCCCGGCCATGAGTAGTGGGCTCTCTGTCCTAACACCTGTGTGGGGCTGTGGCCTCATGTCCAGCGATCCGCAATGAAAAGTCCTCCACTGGGAGGGTACGATGGAGTACAGGCGTGTGGCTCTGCTCCCTGTTGGTCCAGCTCAATCCAGAGGTAGATGGTATTCTTGTTCTTTTGTTTGTTTTTATTTAGGTGTTACATACTTGAAGATTAAAAAAAAAAAATTCAAATACTACCAAAGGGAGCAAAACATACAGCTGATGTCTCTCGTCCTTCCTATTTTACACCCCAGTTTTATTCCCTGGAAACAGTCATCCTTGGCTGTCCAGGTTTTAGATTCTTCAGAGTGGTCACTAATACATCTCCAACAATGTATACAGTCTGTTTCATTCAAGTCTAATGAGAGGAGGCAGTTGGCTCACCTGTACCACTCACTACATCCCCTTTGTCTTCCATCTTCCACTCTTTTAATTGTTTTCTGGTTTTTCTGTGATCACCTGCATAATTTGAATCTACTTAAGCTTCTGTTTCTTGACCCACTAACATAAGGTGGTTTCTCCTAGGTCCTAACTGAGTAAACATTTTAGTATCTCTATCTTTCCTTCTATCCTTCAGCCTCCATGTACCATCATGACATCACTTTTATAATGTTTAGCATATAATATTTATAGTCTCTTCCATAGTAGCAGTTAAATTGTCCGTGCTTTATCTACAGGTAACTTCTAAAAGCAAATCTATAAACAGGATTTACAATAAGAACTGAGAATTGTGATGGGGTCAGAAAGAAGGAACTGTAATCTTTTGGACCATAATCGTGCTGTTTAAAGGAGAATATTCAATGTATCATAGCCAAAAGCGATCTGTTTTCATTTATTCATAGACTCAGTAAATATCAAACTCCTACATTTACTGAACAGTCAGGCATTGTTCTGGATACATTAATGAAAAATGTCCTGCCCTCATGGAGCTTATAGTCTATTGGGGGAGACAGACCAAAAACTAATTTAATCAATAACTAAATTATATATCGAAATAATATGTGCTGTGAAAAAAAATTAAAGCTGGGAAGAGGTATGAGGAGGGGCGTAGGGCAGGAGGCAGCTGTTTTCAGTTAGTGTAGGCCTCGTTGAGAGGGTGATATTAGAGCTAAGACTTGAGGGACGAGGGTTCCAGGCAAAGGGAACTGCCACCGTGAAGGCCCCAAGCAGAAGCTTGCCTGCAGTGGAGGGCGGAGTGGGGAGCAGAGGACGTCAGCGCAGAGAGGTCACGGGGGCAGATCAGGTGCGGTGCCTTGTGGGTCAGAGTAAGGACTTGGGGTTTACTCTGCGTGAGATGGGAAGTCCTTGGAGGGTTTTGAGCAGAGGAGGAACATAATCTGTTCTGTGTTTAAGAAGGAACCCTGGTCCGATTACCGAATTAAGGGGAATCAGGGAGATTCTTTAGTGTATTATAGTAATCCTCCCAGGAGATGATGGTGCGCTGAACGGTGGGCTAGCAGTGGTGGCATTCTGGATCTATTCTGAAGGTAGAACCAACAGGATTTCATGACATTGGATTTGGAGCGTGAGTAAGAGAGGAGCTGAGGGTGATTCGGAAGTATTTGGCCCGAGCAGGTGGAGATGGTCTGTGCAAGTCATTGAGAATCAAGCACACTGCAATTTGCTTCATGTTTATACGGCTTTTTTCCCTTGCATTTCTGATTGCCTTTTTTTTCCTTGATGACAGAGAAGCACGTAGTTTCACCTATAATGAAGACCAGGCAGCTTCTTAATCAGTCTGTCTACTAACATGAATTCACTGTCTTCTTGAGTACGCTCTTGGTTGAAGCCTCGTTCTGTTCCAATTTGAACTGATTGCTTCTTCCACCTGTGGCACCCCTAATGTTCTGGGATATCTTTCCATTGCATTCCTTCTGGGCTACGATTCTCAATCCCTTATCTGTGTTTCTGATATCTAAAGAACACTGAAAATGGGTTTTTCTTCTTTCAAGTGCCGATACAAAACTTATTTGGAAGCAACACATGACCTGAACTGACTTAAGGTTATTCATAGTCTTTATGGATCCCATTTATATGAATATTCATATGTTTTACTGCAGAAATATTCATTTCTTTGATTATAGGGTGCTGCTCTAGATTTCACTGGGTCGTACCTAATACACAGTATATGCCCCTTAGGTATACTAAGGTACAAACATCTAAAGAATTCTGACTTCTGAAACACATCTGCTCCTAAAGGGTTTGGATAAGGGATTGAGGGCGTATTGTGTTCCCTGGTAAGTATTTGATGTGTAGCTTTTAAGTGCACAGCCATGAACTACCACTGAAGGCAAAGCTGTTGACAAGGGTTAACTTGTAAAGACCCAGCAGACTCCTAGCAGTGCATCAGACAGTTGGGTCTTTTCTTATCTGCAGGAGAAATGGCATAGCCATAGGGCCCTGAATTATCCAAAAATCTTTTCTGTTTGGTTTTGGAATATGTTCTGTGTTTGGGGTCCCCCCCACAAAGTTTCTGGTTACTTGCAGATCAGATTAATACCGCCGTGTGTTTGCAGTGCCTCCGCACACCCCAGCTGCTGTGAGGGGGGGGCCAGCAGCACCCCTGAGGAGCACACTTGCCTGTGTACAGGGCACAGTTATCTTCCAGGCTCCGTTGGGACCTTGTCCTCCTTCTTGAGCCTTCTTTCTTGTGGGTTCCATAAGCTTCGACCCTCTATCCCCAGCCTGTCCTAAAACCCCATTACCACAGAGTGCTATGTTCTGAGGTCCATAAATGAGATTTTAGGCTTTTAACTGGGTTCATTTCGACAGCACATATTTACTAGCCACCTGTGTGCAGAGCACTTACACATGCATCTTATTATTTTACCTTCACAGCAACCCTTGAACAGGCAGGACAGGGGGATTACCCCTTGTTTTATGATGGGATCATTGGACCAGTGGGACCTGGTGGCTTGCCAGAAGTTCCATGATAGGTGATGGAACTTGGAGTTTAGACCCTGGTTTAATTCACTCTCTTTCACACTGTTTGCAGTGGAGGAGGAAACAGTGCACTGAACACTCAGAAAGCTAAGGAGTCAAGCCTGTCACCTGTAATGAAACGTGGGCTTGTTAGATGAGGAGTCTTAGATTAGGAAGCCCATCTGGTGACCTCTGAGACTGTCGTGTTCCCTGATTTTCAGCAAGTCAGAGGATCTCCTCTGAGCTCCAGGGAGAAGCCGAATGGGGGCTGGTAGGTTTCCGCAAGAAGACGTCCTGACTCCTGCCCCCTCAGCCGGCCTCTTTCCCTGCGGTCCCCACCCCCACTGCAGACTTGGCAGTCGTTTTTGGGAAGCGGGTTTAAGAGGGTTGTAAACCCTGAGATGACCCTGGGCGTCCTTCCCTCAGGGCCCTTATGAACTGGGAGAGTGGGCCGTCTCTGAGGAGTGGCCAGGGAGAACCTTGTCTGAAGGTAGAGGGTTGGCTGGATGGTGATTTGGAAGCTGCTGACCGGTTGCAGGCAATCAGTAACCCTACACAGACCCACAGATCTGTAGCCACTAGAGGGCGCTCTCCTCCTGCCGAGCCAAGATGTGAATGCCTAGTGAAGACCTGCCCTGAGCAAGGACGCAAAGCCGGAGCTGGGGACCATCTTCATTTGCTAAGCTTGGAGTCTGGGGAGCAGGGCCAATTAGGCATCCACCTCTTCCCCTCACAGGTTGAAAAGAAATTAAGGAACAAGGAATGGGCGTCTTATGGAAATCACATTAAAAAGTAAAGCTTATCAGAGAGAGAGCCTTAGCTATGTTGCCAAATGGGTTTGCCAATCCTTCCTATTAAACTGTCCCATTTGGGCCCCAGGAAGAGTTGGACGACCAGAGGCTTCTCAACTGGGGCAGGACATGTACCTCGTGGCAGAGAAGATGCATGTGTCCTAGGAACAGGCTGCTCAGAAAGGAGGGCCTGCAGGGGCTGCTGGGAGTCAGATGACACTTTCCTTCCCCGTCTCGGACGTTTTGGATAAATTACACACACACCCCTTCTGTTTGCAGTGAAAATGTCCTCCCGTGTACTTCTCTCCTGGGAGGTGGGTAGTCCTTCCTTCCGTGAATGTGTGCAGCAGGGATCAGTGTTCCCTCTCCAAATTTTTTCTCTTAACATATTGGACTTGATATCAGTGGAGCTGGGACTGGGACTGTTTCCACTCGGCAGTTTTAACCTTGGTCCCACCTTGTAAAGCTACTGTAGACATAAACATGGTTTTGTAGCATGTTCTCCAGGGATCATGGGATCATTCTCTGGGAGCTGTTTGGCTTCTGTCCCTAGATTGCTACCTTGGTTCCTACCAAGAGTGAGGGCATGAGACATACTAAAGGGACCATAGGTAAGGTAAGTACTCATCCAGGCCTGAGTTAGATGTCGGTCTTAAGGGTGTCTGTCCCCTGAGAAGGATTATGGAACTGCAAAAAGACAAAAGTATACAAGATTTCTTTGAACAAGAAATACTTTTGATAGATAGACCCCAAACTTACTGCATTTGAAGCATCTAATAAGAACCTGGTGACCTTGTTCAGCAGGGCCTTCATCTATTAGAGAAAAGTCTGACACTTGGAGATGAGGCCACAGTAGCTGCTGTAACTAGCTATGATTTTTTTTTTTTTTTTAGTGTCTTAGATGGGGTGTAACCTAAACTATCCATAGGCTGAGCCAGAGCTCCCATTTCTCCACATGGCCTCACAAGGCCACCGCTTGTGACTTGTTTTTCAGGCTTCCTGGGCTTTGTACCATGGCTTTGGGGGTTAGCGGACCCGTTAAATAACCTCTGTTCTCTCCTTTTGAATGTGATCCGATTAAGGTATAAGAAATAGGAACCAGACAGTTGGAGATCAAATAGCAGCTGGTTAGAGAAGATTTAAATCTGTGGTGAAGTGAACTTGCACACAAGTCCCTCTATCACTCCTGCCATTAAACTGCCCCACCCAGGCCAGGGCTGAGCTGTGCGTCCAGCGGGGCGGGTGCTCAGCTCCTGACTGAGGCAGGCGATGGTCTGGGCCTCAAGGAGCCTGACTCCTGCTCTCTTCCTCCAGCCACTTCAAGAGAAGGCTGAGCAAGGTGTAGGAGACAGATCAAGTGTCCCTCGTGAGAAGTGAAAAGCACCTTCTCTCTGGAAGGAAGAGTGAGGGCGTATGGGTCCTCCAAACCTAAGATTAATTTTAGAGTATCAAAAAAAATTAAAGGCTACTTTTTTTTTTTTTGCAGTACGCAGGTCTCACACTGCTGTGGCCTCTCCCGTCGCGGAGCACAGGCTCCGGACGCGCAGGCTCAGCGGCCATGGCTCATGGGCCCAGCCGCTCCACGGCATGTGGGATCTTCCCGGACCGGGGCACGAACCCGTGTCCCCTGCATCAGCAGGCAGACTCTCCACCACTGCGCCACCAGGGAAGCCCCCAAAGGCTATTTTTTATTTCAAAAATATTTTGTATTGGAGTAGAGAACTTCATTTTTTTGTTTGTTTGTTTGAGCATGAGGCCTCATGTTTTGTCTTAATATTCTTGGCACCTGGCACAGAGTCTGGTAATTATTTGTTGCTTAAATGATATTTAGAACAATTTTTTTAATGTTTAACCTAATGGTTTCCAGACTTGGAAAAAGTAGGGCAGTTAAGTGAAATGTAAAAGAATATGCAACACTAATAACTTTTTATTTTACCATGTAAGGATGTTAAAAACATCGCCATAACTTCAAGAAACAAAATATTTTAATATAAAAAGTAGGACGAGGTCTTCGCTGGTGGCGCAGTGGTTGAGAGTCCGCCTGCCGACGCAGGGGACACGGGTTCGTGCCCCGGTCCGGGAAGATCCCACATGCCGCGGGGCGGCTGGGCCCATGAGCCATGGCCGCTGAGCCTGCGCACCCGGAGCCTGTGCTCCGCAACGCGAGAGGCCACAACAGTGTGAGGCCCGCGTACCGCCAAAAAAAAAAAAAAAAAAAGTAGGACGAGCACGACCTTAGAATTAAGGATGAAGGTAGTTTTGTGTCCTTACACACACACAAGCCTCAGCTGTGCTTATTTTTCTCAATTTGCCATCAGGAGAAAAATGGTCATGGTCTGGTATTGCGAAACCTCAGATCCCTCTGGGTCGCAGCCAGACTTGAGAGATGTCTTAAGAGCCACTTGGTGTGTCCTCACTCTTGGCTTGTTGTTTTTCTCTGAGCAGAGCTCTGTCAGAAAAAATTGTCTCCGTCCTGCCAAGAATGAAATGTCCACACCAGCTGGAGCCCCACCAGATCCAGGGGATGGACTTTATTCACATATTTCCTGTTGTCCAGGTAAGAGCATCTGTGGGGTTTCTTGCCCTCCTGTAACGGGTCTGGCTCTTGGGCCGTCCGGCCTAGATCCTGGATCTGATGGGTGTGGTATGGATTTGGTGGCAGCAGAACACGATGACACTCCTCAGAACGTTGCCAGTACTCAGTCTACCCTAGTTTCACACCGTCACCTGTTCTGGTCTTTGAATGTTTCCATTAGTAGCTTTTCATTGCCCTTCTGGTAAAGATGGAAGCCCATAGCCCCCCCATCGCACCCCATGCGCTGGTCCCCTTTGACCTCTCCAGCCTCAATTTATTCTTTGCTTTTCTTTATTCTTTCTATTCTAGCCCCTCTGACTTTCTTTCAAATTTCCTCATACACACTGTGCTTCCTCCTGTCACGGGGCCTTTCAGGGTGGGAAGGTCTTCCCTTCTCTCCTTACCTTTATCTTCCAGATCTCAGTTCCATCAAGCCTTCTCAAGAAAGCTTCCCCTGACTGCCAGATCTAGAGCAGGTTCCTTTGCTATATCCTCTTATACGGCATATTCCCTACCCTCACAGGAAGCTTCCTCACTGCAGTTTGTGACCGTGTCCATTCAATGTTCGGTTATTTGTACCTCTCTCCCATCAGACTGTAAGCTTCCTGAGGGCAGGTACCATGGCTGTCCTGCTTGCTCTCGTGTCTCCGGCACCTCTTGGAATGTCTGGCACTTTGTAGGCATTCAGTCCTAACAAAGGACTAAATTTCTAACAGGAGACTTATCTCCACCCCGACTTTTTCCCCAAGGCCCTGTGATTAAGTGGCCATGCTGTACAAGTCCCTGTATTCTGTGCAGTTCTCGTGTCTCAGCCCCTCCTCCAGGCACCACAGAAAGAAGAGGAGCAAAGGGACTTAACTTAGTTGCCTGCTGGGTGGACAGTACTTTGCCTCGGATCCTAATAGAGTTCTTTGAAGCATCTATTGTAATGCCTGTCTTACATCTGAGGAAAGGGAGACTCGGAAACGATAATCAGTTTGCTTAAGGGCAGAGAACTAGTGAGCGGAGAGGCAGATTCCTCTCAACTCCTTGTCTTTAAGCCTGTACTTTCCCCTCCACCACCATGCAGCCACCCCGAGGAAAGCCGCACAGCCCCTGCAGGAGGGGTTTTGTGATTCTGTTCAGATTATGTAGCGTAGCAGTGAAGAGCCTGGACTCTGGAGACTTCCCGGGTTCACATCTTGGCTCTGCCACTTTCCAGCTGTGTGATCTTGGGCAGATGACTAAACTTCTTACCTGAGAAGTAGAAATAATAATAGTACCTACCTGGTGGGATGGAAGCTGAGTAAGTTATTATGTGTAAAGCACTTGATTGAAGGGCTGGCACTTTTCAGTGAGTGCTCTGTAAGTGTTATATAGTTGTCTCTGTTGTTGTTAACTGCTATTGGGACTCTTCCCCTGCACTAGACTGCAAATCAAATACGTTGACATTTATAACTGAAATTTGTAAACTTGAGGCTAGGACTTGAACTCAGGATTTGACTTGTTTGTCTGTTAGGGGATGGATGGTACCCAATCATTTTGTGAAAGTAAGAAGTAGGGAGTCTGTGTAGATGCTTACAGAAGCCTCCAACCCCATCATACTGTGAAGTTGTCGCCCTTTCCCCTGAAGCCTGGATCTCTAGTGACTAGACCTTACTCAAAACTCTGCTAGAACTTTGAGGACCCAAACTCTAGTCCATATATGAGAAGGGGATGAAAGGGAAGTGATTGTCTACAGTTGGTTTGGGCATTTTGAGTATCTAATGTTTGTGTTGTGAGCGGAATGTCGGAGGGCTTCCTGTCTGGATGTGAGAGCCTCTCTCAGTGGTTACCCCATATTCTTAATTTCGTGGATCTGTAAAATTTTGAAGTGCACATAGAGGTTGACCTGCGGTTGCAACCTGTATTTTGGCAAGAAGGGACGTTTTTAAAGGCAACAATTACTTTGCTTTCTTTACCATCCTAAAAGAAAGGCCATTTAACTCCCACTCTCAGAATAAAGGACAGTCCTTCAAATGGAATACATGTAGCCTTATGAAAAACTCGCCACATGCCTGTAGTTTTCTGTTTTGCCAGACACCAGTGAAAGAGCAGTCGTGGACCAGCCACTGGGAACCACTGGTTGTCTTGTGTGGGACTAGAGGCCCACCACCCTTGTTCGCGCTGTTTAGCACAGCTGTGGTGACACTCTGAATGCAACCAGGAGGAAAGAAGAGCTAACTTCCGGCTACTGGTAGTTCCAGGTCACGTCTTTTTCTCCCACGTGGGGCACATGAATCCTGTGAGGGTAGGTATTTTTCTCAAATGCTAGGGGCTTATGGCAGAGCTCAGCTGTCCTAGAGGTTCCCTCAGCAGCCCTTCATGCTGGGAACTCCAAAACACAGCGGTCGAGTCTCTAAGGAATCCTTTGAATCCTTTGAATCAATGGGCTTTGCCTTCCTCATCTGAGCATGTTCTCCAGGATCCAGCCAAGTTACAACTCAGTGTCGATCTAATTAACAGAGGTAGATCTGAAAAGGCAACAACAATGAAAGGCCAGAAACTGGATCTCCCGATGCAAAGCAAAGCAGAGAGAAATTGAGTTGAACAGTGACTCAGCCTCCTTAGATGTCCAGGGCCGGTGCTGGGGTACAGGTGAGGGGCTGGAGTAGCCCCGAATGCCCTCTGACTTTCTGCCCCTGCCCTTCTGGATTTTAGTCAGTGCCTGAGGTCATTGTTTGGAGGTGGGGTGGAGTGGAGTGATGGGAACAAATGGAAGATACTAGCAACAAAAGAATACTCCTCATAGAATTATTTGCAGCCACTGCTGTCCCGGGCAGCTGCCTCCTTAAGTGTGTCCTTTACTTGAGCTGGCCGCCCTCCCTGAGCGCGCGTTCCTGCCGTCCCCGCAGGAGCCCTGTGCCATGTGCATGTGTCTGAACCTTGCCACGTGTGGCCCTGCCCCGGGGAAGCACAGCTACTGTCCAGAAACTGCTTCTGAGATGTAGTAGCTCTCTCTGGAGAGAGAATGGCATCCCTCCCTAAAGTTCTTTAGTAATAACGGGAATGAATGAAGAGTCAGGAGGAGAAGCAAAGGCTCTTTTTGCACTTTGCATTCTCACCCGCAGAGCACCTGGGCCTCCCGCAGGCTGTGGGGCGTGGGTGTGTGCACGTGTGTGTTTCAGTTCCCTCGAGTTGTAAGTCAGCGGGCGTGAGGAGCGGCTCCTTGTGCGTATCGACCCGGTCGACCTAGGACACGTGGCGTGAAGCCCAGACGCACCGTGTCCCGATGTGGCCGGCAGCTGTGTGGCTGCTGGCTGTGGATCGGTGGGCGGATCATGTCGTCTCTCCGAGCTTCCGATTCTGTAAAACGCGGCCAGTGCCAGTTACCTTATAGTGTTGGGTGGATTCGAGAGCTCTGCTGTGAGTGCTGAGCTAACCTGAAGCCTAGGGCTTGTACTCAGTACCCCTGGTCTCAAGTCTGAATATCGGGGGGGTTTTTTCCCACCTGTCAAACGAGGGTTACACTAGGCATTCTCACTGGTTCCCTTCCCTCCCTCTGGTCTGTGGTGCAAGCAGCACGGGAAGGAGAGAGCTCCAGTAAGATCTGCCACTGGGCGTGGGGAGGTTTGGGGGACAGCTCTGTTTGTGTCGGGCTCCAGGTGTTTACAGAGCTGTCTAGTACTTGTGTTTCATTTGCTCCCACAGTTGCTCTGTGACGTGAAGGGAACTGATACTCTCACCTCCTCTTTAGCAGAGAGGGAAACTGAGGCCCGGGCACCTGAAGCGAGGCCCGAAGGCTCCTGCGCGGCTGTCAGCTGAGGTCCCCCTGGATCTCAGCATCCAGACACCCAGCGGCTGCTTTTCCTGCGGGCAGTACGTGTTGGTGGTTATTCGCCGCCTGGGCAGTTCACGTTCTGTGATTCGGGCGCAGGACCTGTGCCGTCTCTGAGCTGGCCTTTACCACAGTGTGTTTCATCCCCGTCGGCTCACAGTTCCTCACTTTCTTCCCCAGTGGCTGGTGAAGCGAGCTATAGAAACAAAAGAAGAGATGGGCGACTACATCCGTTCCTACTCCATTTCCCAGTTCCAGAAAACCTACAGTCTCCCTGAGGTCAGTGTTCTTTTCTAGCCCAGTTGTGAACCTGAGTGCACAGTGAGGGACCCCTGGGAAGGCGCAGAGTACGCTCAGGCTCCCCTGCACTCCCACCCACCTGCGTGGCCTCCCTGCCCCCACCTGATCACCCCTGAAACTGGGCCTCCTGGTTCATTAGAATTGCCTGTTTAAATGGGCATGAGTGTCAAGCCCTACAGTTTTGTCCTTGTCTCTCAATTTTCGTACTGGATCTGGACCTTTTGTTAAATTATAAGAGCATTACAAGAGTGTATTTTTGTATAGTCATATAAAGGTTTTTGAGAGCCCACCTGCTTGGGACACACCTATAGTAACAGCTGAATAGTAATCACAACAACAGTACTAGCTGGTCACTGTCAGATACTGTATTCCAGTCCCGGCACATCACATGCCTTCTATTTTTTGATCCTCATGACTGTTCCCTGAGATAGGCGGTATCATCCCCGTTTTGCAGGTGGAAAAGCTAAGGCTTAGCGGTTAGGTAACTTGCTGAGGTTTCAGAGCTCATACGGATTTGAAGTGAAAACGCTTGTCTTCACCACTACACTCTGTGGTCCCCCCTTTTTCTCACCGGCTATAGGGATCTGTTTTGCAGCCATCGGCAGAGGCCCTAGCTTTTTCCCATGCAGGATATATTCCAATTTGTTCAAAAATTGAGACTTCTTCAGGCAAAGTTGTGATGAGAAGTCAGTTTATAAGACAGACTGCTGAGCAGTCCAGTTGAGTTTCAGTCTTTATGCAGGAAGATTTGTTTCATCCCTGTGTCTTCTTGTCTGGCAGGATGATGACTTCGTCAGAAGAAAAGAAAAGGCCATCAAGACAGTTGTTGACCTCTCGGTGAGTTCCCTGCCCGAGTTCTTCAGTAAGGGAAGAACGTAGGGTCGTAGCCTCCAAGTAGCCCTTTGAGGTAAATCACAAAAGCCCCTGCCCCCCGAGGTTTCTATCTGCCGGGTTGCCCAGGAGCTGATCTCAGGTGCACATGTGAGGGAGGCCCTGCCTGCCGTGCGTGCCCGGTACCCGATGCCAGCGTTCAGGGTAGAACGTGCCACAACCACTGCCCTGTTTCCCTTACTTCCAGTTTTCCAGACCCGAAGCCCTTCCTCATTTGTGCCAGCGGCAGCTGTAAACTTCACATAACTCCAAAGAGCAGATGACGAACTAGAGCTGATGCATTGAGGTGACCACCACCATGACGCCTTCAGAGAGGCAGAGTAGCGTCTGAGCTTTGTGTGGGAAACTCTGGGATGGCCTTTGTCCCCAAGCACAGTGTATCTTAACCACAGGGTCTGCACTCATGTGCCCACTTCCCCAGTACAAGGGCCAGAGGAGAGCTTTGGGCCTTTTCAAAACACTTTGGGCCAGAGCCCAGCAGGACCTTGTCAGCCTTCACCCCTCAGCCTTCCTATTTGAGCTGATGGGAATGGAGCCGCAATGCCTGGGTGTAAATTCACTTTCTTTAGAAAATAATGTCTAGAGTTAGTCTGCAATTTTTTTTTTTTTTTTTTTTTTTTTACTTTTAAGAATAAATGTGTGGTCTCCCCAGGTGATTACTGTGAAAAGAATAACAGTAGTTTGATGATGAAAGACGTGAAATGCTCATTTAAAACAAAAAAGCCTTTGTCAGTTTATGGTTGTAATTTGTATCTTTTCCACAGTGCCATTTTGGAAATGGGAGAAATGGAAAACCTTTAACATAGTTATACTCTGAAGCCAGGTGCTGTTTTCAGATTTGGTGGCACTATTAAATGATAATACCAAGAGGACATGATAGAACAGCAAGTAATTTTTTTTCCTGGTTGTGAGGTAGATGTTCAGTTTAGAACATCTTTAAAGTTTTCTTTAAAAAGATTGATAGGTGAGAGGAAGAAAATCAACCTTAATCTAACAACACAGAAGCAGCCACTTTTGATGTTTGGACATATTTCTTCTGTGTTTTTAATGTGTATTTTTATAGTGAATTAGAATTATACGTTGAATGTAATTTTGTAGTTTTTTTTTTCCACTTACCAATATAGAGTCTTGTATGCTGTTAAAGGTTCCTCCTAATCGCATTTTCATGACAAATAATAACCAATTGGTTGGATGTGCTGTTGCTTTCCCTTGTTTTAAATGATGCTTCATTTAAAAGAAGTGAAAAGAAATGCTTTCATTTCTCCCTCTGATACAGGGAACTGGGGAGCCAGTGGCAGGAGAGGAAGGGAAATTCTCTTTTCCCTATAAACTCTGTACTATTTGGATTTTATACTAAGTCTGTGTATTACCTATGCAAAAACAATAACGTAAAAACTATTTAATTGTTTTTAATTAAGAAGCTGTAGGAAGTTTATTTTTCCAAAATTACAACTACAGGCATATATTACTGTATCAAATCTTATAAAATCCAATTCTTTTTTTTTTTTGATATTTTCAGCATGTTGTTTATTTTATTTTATTGGAGTATAGTTGCTTTACAACGTTGTGTTAGTTTCTGCTGTACAGCAGAGTGAATCAGCTATACGTATACATATATCCCCTCTCTTTTGGATTTCCTTCCCATTTAGGTCACTGCAGAGCACTGAGTAGAGTTCCCTGTGCTATACAATAGGTTCTCATTAGTTATCTATTTTATACATAGAATCAATAGTGTAAAAAATATTTAATGTTTAATTGAATATCTTCATGTGCAAATCTCACTTGGAGCCCTGGGTAGAGAGTGAGAAACATTGCATTTTTTGGCTGTATCACCAAGAATAAAAGGCCAGTGTAGCTGTTGATCAAACTGGGCCTGATGTCTCTTTACCTATTCAACATTTCAGGCTTCTAGAGACACGTTATTTCTTCTTCTCATTTGTAATGGAGTTTTTAAAGATAATCGTCTTCTGCTTGGCAATATGACTTAAATTCTTAATGGAATTTAGGGAGCTAATGACAGTGACAAATATATAGGGCCCAAACATTGTTCTAAGCATTTATATATAACTTATCTAGTGCTCACCACAACCCTATGAAGTAATAGTATTTTTTTTTTTTGACAGGTGAGGAAACTAAGGCACAGCTCGGTTATGTAGGTTGCCCTAGGTCACATTGGTGATGATGGAGCCAGGATGCAATAAAATGCTAGATAAAATGCTGTTTGCAGCTCATTAGAAAATAATAAAAAGATAAAGGAAAATGGAAAAAAGAATTGTAGGTCTCTGATAATAGTTCAAATTGCTTAGTTTATTTCCTTTTTTTATGTGCGAACTTACTCCTCCGTTGACTGTCAATACATTTGCAACAGGAATGATAAAAAAATTTTTATGGATGGCCAGAGCTGGCCTTTGGGTTTTGTTTGTTTGTTTTCTACTTTCTCTGTCTACTGAAAATACTCCCCCATCTCTAGATGCTGTCTTCTTAGGCTTCTGAGCTGAGCTCTGTTGCCATTAACTTCCGTCCTTCCCACCCACCACTGCTGCACACGCTTGCTTGCGGCCTTGGAGTGAGGGTCCCAGGAGCTTGTCAGGGACTCCAGGGCTCCATGTCTTCTTCTTGTGAGTCAGTGTGAGACATGAAACAGCTTGCTGGGTTTTGTTTGCTGTCACTCCCTCCAAGGGGAGTCCCTCCCCTCGTAAAGGGAATAAAGTCTTTCCTGGGTGACCAGGGCGGGGCTCTTGGCAAGTCTTAGTTTCTCAAGAATGTTTTCTTCTCCTTCCAGCCTCTCTCCAGTTCTGCCCTTCAGATGTCTCATCACTGTTTCTTACCTACCCCTTACTGACAAATGTAGAATCCCAAATTTAAACTCTGAATGGTAAATTAAGGATTAAAATTCGCTCTTACATACAGTGCCGGGTTTCTAGAGCCAGCCTTTTATAAAATATGCATGTAGCTGCCGGGTACTGACTGAGTGCCTTCTATGTGCTTGACATCTAATGAGGCGTTTTACAAGCATTATCTCATGTACTCATCAACACTCAAGGACTTATGCGTTACATTTCCATTTTATAAATCAGGAAGTTGAAACTCAGAAAGGTTAATAAATTCCGTACACAGTTGCAGAGCCGAGAAGAGGCAGCCAGGTTTTCACTTGACATCTGGCTCCTCAGACACAGCAGGTGTTGGTGCATCTCTAGTTTTCTCACTCTTCACCTGGTCTCTGATTTCCTGCATCTTCCTGACACTGATTTGGCCCTAATGTTTCTGACTGATTTCAGGACCCTGGGGTGTTATTTATCAGGGTCGCAGAGACTCAAATGCATGCAGAGCGGTTGGGTACTCTGCCCTTGTGAGGGCATCTACTCTGCCTTTGCCCGTTTGAAGACCATTTGTCCAGCTGGAGAATGGGTGCCAAGTGGAGACTGTCCTGTTGTCTTTTTCTTCCATCTGTTAACAAGTTATCACTCTGCCTCAACAAGCAGACTTTACTTACTCTTGCTTATGTGTCTTTTTAAAAATAAATATTAAACATTTTAATATTTTTCAAAAAGTTTTAGCTTATAAGAATATAAGCTTGTCTTGTCTTTAGCCATCTTTGTAGGACTGTTCCAGTTTTTTGCATTCATCCTTGGTTATGTAGCTCATCTATTTTTTTGATGCATGATTTTTTGTTTTACAAAAGGTTATTTTTCTTTCAAACTACTACTGTGGTAATAATGAAAAATTAGGCAATGGAGAGAAAGTACAAAGACTAAATCACCCACGATACCACCAGCCAGGGATAACCACTGTTATTCCAAGTAGGAAATATATAGTTATAGATATCAATATAGAAAATTAGAGATTACAAAAAATGACATGATACTATATATTCTGTTTTGTTGTGTGGTTATTTTCCTCAACAGTATAATCAAGGATATATTTCCATGCCAGTAAATATACCTCCATAGCATTTTCAGTGGCTGTACATTATGCATTGTGTGGTCCTAACTTAACTAGCTTAGTTTGTTTTTTGGGGTTTTTTTTTGGTTTTGTTTTGTTTTGTTTTGGCTATTATGTAGGACATCCCCATAGCTAAATTTTTTCTTTTATCTTTAATTATTTACTTGGGTTACATTCCATGAAGTGGAGTTGGTTCAGAGGTTATGCCTCAACCTGTTAGTACCTCTTGCCAAGATTGCCTGGCAGAAAGGCTGTTGTGTGAACTTTTAACTTCTGAGCTCATCACCTTCCAGTGTTCTCTCTTTTTGTCTTGGCCTCATTTTTCTTCATCCTGGGGATTATTCCCAGTACTTCTGCTTCTCCTTTGAAATGTGTTCTTTTCTCGACGTCTCCATATCTCCTTTTTACGGAATAGGCGGCCGCTTTGTAGAAGCCTGCTTGATGGGAGGTGGTATTTTCAAAGGACATAAGAAAATGAAACTATTGCCCAGGACAGGCCTCCCCTTACCCTTCCACTCTCGCATCATAATCGTAATCGCTCATTTGTCTCACCTAATGTGCTGTGGTACAGTCTACTTCCTCCCTTTCTGAACTGTCAGCCTTCCATATTCATGAAGTATCTGACCTGTGCAGTGAGGTCTTTTACTCCCTCTCAACCTTGAGTAAAGAGTAGCCGTGAAATTTTACCCAAAGCCCCCAAAGATACATTTGCTTACTATTTGTTGAGCATTTCTTGGTAATGTTTAGAATTTTGTATGAGAACAGAGGGGACAGAGGGAAAAAAAAAAAAAAGACTTCTTATTGGTCCCCTAAGAGACCAGGTCATTTAAAACTACGACTCCACTGTGTTCTTCCATAGGAAACGCTGTGAGGAGGACCTTTCTTTCCAGGACATGAAATGTAAACATGGCAACATAAGTAAAAAAAAATATATTAGTACATTTTATCAATAATAGCAAATATACGCATGTATGTATATCTTAGCCCTTAATGTGTATCAGATAACGTTAAACAGATTGACTAATCCTTACGACTCTCTCCATATACCTATTTTACAGGTGGAAAACCTCAGAGGTTAAAGTAATTTGCCCCAAATCAGAGAGGTAGTAATGGGGCACGGGTTAAAACCCTGTCTGTCTGACTCCATATATATTCATTCCATAATAGTAATTGAGCACTCACTGTGTGCCAGACCGCATTCTAGGGTATGAGGTGAGAGCAGGAGCATTGCAGCTGTAAGGGATTCAAGGGATTTTGGGACTCGTCAAGGGAAAAGATGTGACGGGGGTTAGCAGTAGCACACACAGGGTCTCTGGGCGATGCTTTGACAGGTTTGCCTGAAGGGTGGGGAGGCTGTCAGTGCGCAGGCCATCCCGAGGCCTAGGCTCCGGGGCCACCATTCAGAAGGGGAGGCAAGGAAACGAGGGAGCCTCGGCCGGGGCAGGTTAGAGAAATCTGAAGGGCAGCTGCAGCCTGGGGTCTTTATAGCCACGGGGCTTATCCTATCTGTGGTTTGCAAATGTCAGGTGCGGTTTTGCAGAGCATGCAACGTGGGCAGGCTGTAAACCGCTAAACTCTGCTTAGTGGGGCCATCTTTTAAACAACTGGGTCTGTGAAAAGTATGAGGTTGGCGCTGGAGGGTTTTGAGCTGTGGGTCTCAGCCTGCTGTGAAGAAGTAAAGCTAGGAGTCGATATACAGAAGCCATCTTGGCTCATGTATACAAAACAGTGACTTCATTCTTATCCACCAAGTTACACTGTTTGGTACAAACTCAAGGGGACCTGAGATGGGACTTGTGCCGGACCTCAAACAACAGAAGACAGGTGCTTCCCCGGGGGCGCAGTGGTTGAGAGTCCGCCTGCCGATGCAGGGGACGCGGGTTCGTGCCCCGGTCCGGGAGGATCCCACATGCCGCAGAGCGGCTGGGCCCGTGAGCCATGGCCGCTGAGCCTGCACGTCTGGAGCCTGTGCTCCGCAACGGGAGAGGCCGCAGCAGTGAGAGGCCCGCGTACCGAAAAAAAAAAAAGAACAGAAGACAGGCCTGCACAGCAGAGCTCACGTAAAAGAGAATAGAGGAAGAACAAAGTTTAGGGGCGTCTGGAGAAAACCCTACCTCCCCAGCTAACTTTCCTACCCATAGACATGATTGCCATCCATCTCTCATCATTCCCTCACTCAGTTCCCAGGACTTCATTTTTGTGGTTGTGGTTGTTGTTTTATTCATGTGAGAATGAAGAAAACAACCTGATTTGTCTCAGTTATAATGACTTTCTTCTGGGGTGTGTCAGGGCCCTGCACTTGCTGATGGGAACATCAGCGGAGCCTCTCTGGGTGGAAGGCAGCGTTTGTTCAGGGGCTGGTGGGCGGAGGTGTGTCCGTTAGAGTAGGGTTTGGGTTTGGGCTGCCAGGTGAGCCCTAGGAGACTGAGATGTGCTTCCTACTGAGTTGGGTGTGGTCCGGTCCCCTGGAGCTCTGGAGGGCAGTGGCTGCTCGTGGCTGTCTTGCCGCCCGCTGGGTATTTCCTGAAGGGGTTGCCCACCGTAACTGAGAGGCGAATTATTTAATCTCTGCTTCTTTAGTAGCAAGGTGGAGGTAATGGCATCTGCCCTGCTTCTACCTCATGGTGTAGTTATAAAATGTAAAAGGTGTGATGTATGTGGCATGCTTTAAAGTATAAGGATAATTACACAAAGGCCAACATTTGTCATTGTTTGGCAGAATAAAAGGTCCTTGTGGCTGTCGGTTTCAGTATGCTATTGTTTTGGAGTCAGTCCTTCTTTAGACTCCAGTTTCCTGTCTGGGGTCGTTGACTCTATGAATGGTAACTAAGGAAAGTAGCAGTTAAGCTCAATCATATAGTGCTGCTGTAATGGTAGAGCTCCGTGGAAATTAAATCGTACACAGTAACTGACATCCTATGAGTCTATTATGTTTTTCATTTCCCCATATTTTGTGTTACTTAGAGCTTCCTATTCCTGTAGGCACCAGCAGCAACCTAGGAATATTTGCGGCAGTGAGTTACAAGAACAACCGTCCAGGGCCATCCCAGCACCTGTTTCATTCCTTTTCCACAAAATTGTTGAGATTATATATGTTACAGAAAGGATGTTTTTCTGTATGTTTGAAACTTTCCTAACAAAAAGTGAGATAATAATAAAATTAACAAGAATTATCAAGAGGGGAACAATTCTAATTAGCATTAAAATACCACTGTCTAGAGAAACCTGATAGTGTGCTTGTCCTGGTGATGTCCAGGTAGAGATTAGGTGTGGTGAACTCCTTTAGTGGAGAAGGAAAGATCCAGGGACAAACTGGAATACCTTGCACAAACAGCTGCCTGTTTGCACCCAGAGTCCTGAGCAAATATTATTAAGGTATTGTTTGATGCCAGTTTGGCAGTCAAGAAGGACATTCATTTGGGGTAGAATGACAAACCAGGTCATCTGTGGGTGAAGACCTACATTAATTGAGCACCTACTACGTGCCGTGTACTTTGTGTTTAGGAAATTATATATATATATATATATATATATATATATATATATATATATATGCAGTTTCAGAATGTGTCCTACACAAAAGAGGTCTGTGTTTCTACATTTATAACTAAATAATACTCTAATAATTTTAAAAAGTCATTGAAAGTTTAAAGTGCATTTTGTGTTTTTATAAGTTTTTTAAGGATAAACCTCAAAACACTTTTGTAAAGAGATATATATCTGTGAAGGGTTTGTATTTACTTTCCTTTTCTGGTAATGGAGATTTCTATGCCATGAGAGAATTTTTTTTTTAAACATTCTAGGTTAACATGTATATCTATGATTGTTGCACAGTTTATGTCTCTGGGTGGTAGAAAGGTCTGGATATGTAGTGACTGGAAAATCTGTATTGTTTTCTGGAAAATTGTATTCAAGAATAAAAAGGATTTGAATAGAGAGATAAATCTTGCTTTTCAAGGCAAGATTCAGTATTATAGAGATGTCAGTTCGTCCCAAGTAATGTATAAATTTGGTGTGATTCTAGTCAAAGCTCAACAGTTTTTCATAATGAACTTGACAAGCTGATGCTAGAATTCATTTGGAAGAGAAAATGTGTAAGCATAGCCAGGAAATTTGAAAAAGAACAGTGGAGACAGGATAAAGACTCATAAAGCAAGAGGAATTGAAGAGGGTAATATTGGTACATGTTCTATATATATGTATATAGTTGTCATTTTAAATCAAGGAAAGGATAGACTATTAAACTGATGATGTTGGGATTCTTAATTTTCCATTCAGAGAAAAACATATATCTATAGATACCTACCTTTCACTATACCCCCCCAAAAAAATTCTGAATAGATTAAAAGGCTAAATATAATCTATAAAAATAACATACAAGAGCTTTTTTTTTTTTTACAGTCCCTGGGTTAGGAAGTAAGTTGATTGATAAGTTTGATTGCATGAAATATTAAATTGGACAAAAAAACCCAAGAAGATTAAACAAAGTTGACAAGCAATAGATTGGGTGGAAATATTTGCTCCAGTGTAAAAATCAAAGGGGCAGACCCCTTGAAGGCAGTCGCCATGTGCCAGCTGTCCTCCTGAAGGGGAGCTGTACACCCACTGCCATGGGAAAGGACTCCCGCCCCTGGCAGGCTGGACCAGCCTCCTCATGCTTAGTAACTCCCGGCCTCCCCATCCACTTTTCAGGATGCTTACAAGCCCCGTCGGAAGTACAGACGCCAGCGGGGAGCAGAGGAGCTGCTGGATGAAGAATCACGGGTCCACACGACGCTTTTGGAATATGGCAGGTAACGAAGGCGGCCCAGTCTGAAGTGTCTATTTGATAAAACCATTGAAAAGAAAAGCTAATTTAAATCGCTTCACTGGGGTGAACTTGGTTGGTTTTCACCTGACTGAGTCTACGGGTTTGAGCCCGTGATTGCCAGCACCGGGGACTTTTCTCCCTGGTGTGGAATTAGCTCAGTTTCTGTGGGTAGCTTCTCTGGTGGTAGTAGAGGCCTGATCTTTGAAGTTCCTCAGCAAGCCCCCATCCCCGGCTCTGCCCTCCTCGGGGAGCTGGGAAGCGTGGGGCGTTCACAGAGGCCCAGGTGGGCTGCCCTTCATGCCCCTGCCGTATGTTAACATCTTCAGGTAAACTAAGAATTGAAGGCAGTTACAGCAGTTTTACTTTGTGTCAGAGTCTAATCGTTTTGGTTCCCTGTGAAGAATTGTCCTGACCAGGAAAATGAAGAATTTAGAAGTAGTTTTGTCACTTCTTAAAAACGTCTCTAAGTTTTAAAAATACAGTTCTTACAGCCTCAGTTTTCAGTTACACACACACATACACACACACACACACACACACACACACACACACACACACACACACACACACACACACACACACGGAAATGCTTCTCCTCGTTGAATCTTTTGCTTGGCTCTGGGTATTAACCTTCCTTTGTGTCCTGAATTTTCTATTTAGGGTCACTGATTCCTTGATGTGAGTATGTCTCCTGTGCTTCCTCCCCCTCTGCTCGGAGTGATTGCTGTGTGCTGCCCTGCTCATAACCCAGCCCGCACTGGGGGGCTGGAAGTAACAGCACTGCCACTAGCATCTCCAAGTGAGCATCTGATGGCTTCTCCCTCTAGGGTACTGGAGACAGCCAGAAGGAAATTAAGGCTTAATTGCCTTACTTATGCCATCTCTCAAATGGAATTGCAGTTGCCGCTTTTTGTTTGTTTGTTCATTTGTTTGTTTTTGAGAGAGTAATGCAGGCTCAGATCCTTTCTTCCTGAGAATGAAAGCTAGTCCGTTTCATTCAAAGGAAGTTGTTAGTTCTGGCCCTGACCTGAGCGTGAGGGCTGCCCCACAGCTCACCAGCTGTTGCTGCGAATTGAGCTGCTTCTGAGTCAGGCACCTCCAGACCAGCGACATAATTTGCAGGGCCCAATCAGTGTAAAATGAAAATGCAGGGCACGTTAGGCCCCTGAGAATCATGAATAATGATTAATCATTAAGGATTTCATGACAGCGGCAACAGCCAAATGCGGGGCCCTTCGGGCGTGAGGTCCCGTGCCACTGGACGAGTTGCACGCCTTGGACACTGTGAGGGGGGCTCTCTAGCCACCCCTCAGCTGCAGGCGGGCACATGAGACTGCGCTGGTCCGGGCGAGCCAGAGCTGGAGAGGCAGCCTCTGGGAGTGTCACATGTTCCGGAGCCAGAGAAGACTTAGGGAAGTGTGGTTTTTGGTAGTTTGTATTGTTCATACCTCCATTTTTTCCAATATCCAGTATGTATCTCAGAACTAGCCTTAGTTCTTATTGGTTGGATCATGCTGACTCCTGATTTCTGAGCCTGGGATGGGTGTTTGATGAAGCCTTTTTTTGTTTGTTTTTTAGGAAATGGGGTTATTTTGCCTTTTTTTTTTTTTTTTTTAAGCTTTTCTGGTAAGGAGAGGGTGAGTTTGTGAAGGTGGAGAATTCTGATGGTTTATTCAGCTCATTCCCCATTTTGAGAATGATGAAGACGGCATTCAGAAAGGTTAAAAAATAACCTGCCCAAGGTCAACTGCTAACTATTAAGAACTAGTAAGAGCCTCAAAGTGGGACTTGAACTCAGGTTTGATGGACTCCAAAAACATGTCATCATCATTATCTACAAATGTTGTTTGAGCCTCTGGTGAGAGTTCGGTTCTTGATTTTAGGAAGACAGGCCCAGCGTTGGTTGTTTGATCTGAGACTGAACAACCAGAGAGTGGTTATTACAGCTGACAGAGCAAATGGGATAAAACTTATAGCCCCAAGAAGTGTCCTTTTATTCCCCTTCCTTGGGCAGGCTGCTCGCCTCCTTTCTGTCTCTCTTACTCCTCCCTTAGGGTTTTAAGTCAATACTCTCCACTGCTTGAGATCTTTCCCATTTGATGAGGATTATATAACAATGTCTTTATGAAGGACTTTGAACAGTTTGTCTCATGTAGAAAAAGGAAATGTCAACTGTTAGGTGCTATCACCACCACCACCACCACCATCATCATCACCATAATCATCATCACCATAATCACAATCATCATCATCACCACCATCATCATTCTCATCACCACCACCACCAACACCATCATCATCACCATCATCATCATCACCACCAACACCATCATCATCACCACCAACACCATCATCACCACCAACACCATCATCACCATCGCTATCATCACCATAATCATCATCACCACCAACACCATCATCATCACCACCAACACCATCATCATCACCACCAACACCATCATCATCATCACCAACACCATCACTATCATCACCACCAACACCATCATCATCACCACCATCATCATTATCATCACCATCATCTACCTCTTCATCACTATCACCATCACCACCATCATCTTCATCACCATCATCCTGAGCAGCAGCAGTTTTCAGTTCTCAGATGCCCTTAAATGTGACCTTTAGATTCAGATGAGGAGCCTCACCTGAGCCCCTCCTTTCAGTTCTCCTCGTCCCTATGTTCTCCTTACCCCCAGCTCTAGCCCTCCCTCCAGCTCCTTTATGAGAAGCCTTACCCTCTTCCCTTTCCTTCCTAATCCGGCAAGGCTGGGCGCCTGCTGCCTCAGGGACTCACTCCACCCCGCCCTGCCTCCCCCTCACTGTTGTGGCACCCCTTAATTGCTCATCCCCACCTAGGAATCCTAATCCCTCATCTGTTGTCAGTGCTTCTGTTTTCCTCTTCATCTCGCCTCTTGACAAGAGGGAAAATATTTTGACTCCTACAATAAGAAGGTCGGAAAACAGTGTTTATTCTTTGGGGTTAGAGGTCAGTCATCAGCCTAAGCCCACAGAGCATCTGGCTTTGAGGCCCGCATCCCAGTTTCTTCTCCCTTTTTTGACTTTCAGTTGCTCAAATAAGGCTAGACTTTGAGCCTGGCCAACTATGCTGAGGACCTTACGGACTGTGTGTCTTGTTAAAAACATGTTGGGTATATATGTTTAAATGTTATGTTGTTGGGAAAACAAGACTCATAGTTTCAATTTTAGACTTAAACACAATTGTATCTTTATAGTATTTCAATTATATTGTGGGTCCAATCAACTTTTAAGAGCTAAACTTAAACAACTAACCACACTATGAAACTGTCACTGTGGGGAAGTGCATTTTAAGTGCATATGACATGTCTCTCCCAACCTGTGTCCCCTCTGAAGGCCCATGACATGCTCATAGAGTATTTAGTAAATGCTCGTTGACTGAACAAAGAACAGAATCCACAGTCCTTAGTATTTAGGGCTTTTTTATGCCCTTGATTTGTTCTGGATTCCAGACAATGTGATATGTCTTACTTTGCCCTAGGGGAGAAAGTTAGTTTGTTTTCTAGAACTGTGATGTGCAGTATGGTAGCCAGTAGCCACGTGTGACTGTTGAGCACTTACAATGTGACTAGTATGGCTCAGGAACAGAATTTTAACAGTTAAGTTAAATTTAAATTTTTTTATTACATGCTTTAGTTATTGGAATATGTTTAAGTATGTCTGGAATAACTTGGGTATGTGAACACTGATTTAAAGTTCTAGAAGATGTACATCCTTGATGATAAAGACCGAGTCCTGGGTCTGGAGTGTGAGGAAGTGACTGGGTGGTGAGAGGGCTGGAGCTCTGTTGGTGTTGACGGTGTAGACGTCAGCCGGGTTGGTGGGTCAGAGCTAACAACGGGAAATCCAGGAGCACACTGAAGCACGTGGCACTGCATATCAGGCTGGTGCTCGAGAGGAAAGGACCCAGCTGACAGGGCAAGAGGAAAGGTAGGTTGTAGGATACAGCATGAAAGGATGCTCTAGGAAGGATGAAAGAGAAGTAAATGTGTTTGTAGTAGAAATAAGTTGAAGCATCTCCTTGCTCTTCGTGAGGATGATAGGCAAAAGGGTATCATGTTCTCCTGGTGAAACTCAAACAGCACGGAAAAGTCTCCCAGAGATGTGGGACCAGTGAGCAAATGAGGCAGGCGTTGATAGGCAGCTGAGGACAGCTCTTTTTTGTCATGGAAGAGTTGCCACTATGTCACATGGAGAAGGAAACCTTTACAAGAGTCAGCAGGACTCTTCATTCAGCAAACGTTAATCAAGTACTTACTATGTGCCAGGCACTGCACTAGACGCCGGGGATACAAAAGTAAATATTCATAGCAAAACTCTTCACAGTCACCAAAAAGTGGAAACAAACTAGATGTCCATCAGCTGCTGAATGGACAAAATGTGGTTTTTTCATACAATGGGATACTGTTGAGTCATGAAAAGGCCTTAAGTACTGATTCATGCTATAATATTGATGAACTTTGAAAGCACGCTAAGTGAAAGAATCCAGGCACAAAAGGCCACACGTTGTATGATTCCATTTATATGAAATGTTCAGAATAGGCAAATCCACAGAGACGGAAAGTAGATTAGTGGTTGCCAGGGGAAGGGGATAGGGGAAAATTGGACTAACTGCTATTTATGTATATTAGGTGTGGAGCTCTTTGGGTGATGGAACTATTCTAGAGTTAGACAGTAGTGGTGGTTGCACAAAATAGTGAATACACTAAAAACCACTGAAGTATATATTTTAAAATGGTGAATTTTATGTTATATGAATTACACCTCAATTTAAAAAATGTAAAGAAAAAAAAAGTGAGTGGGGCTTCCCTGGTGGCTCAGTGGTTGAGAGTCTGCCTGCCGATGCAGGGGACACGGGTTCGTGCCCTGGTCCGGGAAGATCCCACATGCCGCGGAGCGGCTGGGCCCCTGAGCCATGGCCGCTGAGCCTGCGCGTCCAGAGCCTGTGCTCTGCAACGGGAGAGAGGCCACAACAATGAGAAGGCCGTGTACCACCAAAAAAAAAAAAAAAAAAAGTGAATGAAGCAAATTTCCTCCCCTCCAGGGCTCAACAGACAGATTGCACATAACACATAATTATTGGACTCCGTGGGTGTCAACACAGAAGTGCATATCTGTGTGGGCCTAACCTAGTTTTGGGTGGTCAGAAAAGTCTTCCCAGAGCCTCTGTCTTTAAGGAGAAGTAGCTGGGACCTGGGAATTGAAATACTCAGATTTAGCTGTTTACTGCTTTATTTGGAAAATCTGTAAAGTTCCTGGGCCTTAGATAAGGCCCGTCTGCCTGAGGGTATGTCTTCTGCCCTGAAGGTCTCCACAGACTGAAGGCCTGGGAAACAAAAGAATACCCAGGGTGCAAGGACACTTCTAGGAGTGGGAAGCTTCAGAGAGACCCTCTGTTGGTCAGCGCTCCCCGGTTCAGGACACAAAACCTTCCCACTAGTTTCAGCAGAAAGGATTGATTGCAGGGGTGGATGGGAGGAGTTAAGAGATGTGACGTAGGCTGAGCAGGGTCACTTCCCAAGTGTCACATTAGATCTGGGCTGCCTGGGATGCAGCTTCTGCCTCCGTCTTCAGGAAGCTAGTGAACAGCCTGTGGAGTTGGGAAGCTGGTACTGCAGCTACTGACAGAGAAACCACCCACTTTGCCAAAATCAGAAAACCACCGTGACAGCTTCTGGCCCCAGAACCAGATTACTGCTACTGTGATCCTCACCAGTGCAGTGAATCCTTTGTGCTTTTGCTGTCTCCTTCTCTACCTGGTACACATTCAGAACTCCAGCAAATGCATCTCATTGATGGAACCTAAGTAGTATTCAGAGCCCCAGGTGCAAGAGAGTATGGAAAATAGTTGTTTGTTCTCCTGCCTCCACGGTATAGTAAGATGCTAGATGTTGACTAAGCCAGTTCACGGAATCTGCCATAAGGTCCTATACAGGATTTGGGTGGATACCCAACACATAACTTTAGTCTGCTGCATTTTGGGCCTGTAGATCTGTGCCTAGAGGATGGGCACAGTGTAACCGGCAGTGACTTTTGGTCTCTCCAGTTATAAGACAACCTGTTGCAAGGTCGGGTGATACTTTTGGCTTCTTGATTTCTCCATTTTCTTGGAGAAGGATGCAGACAGGCAAACAGGCAGTTGGGCATGATTTCTGTCCAGGAAGTAGGGGGAACACGTACAGGCAGAGGGATGGATCAGCCAGGGCAGAATGTTTGAGCAACTGAAAAGTTTCCAACCCAAACTACCCAGCCTGTAGTTTGTATCTCCTTCCGGCCCTCCCGTACCGTCAGTGATAATTTATAGAAATCCTATGGAAGCTGTTTCAACAGGGCTTGGGATCATGTTTGCCATCCCATATCAGTGGTACAAAGCTCAGAGAAGTGAAGCAATTTCCCCCATGTTACACAGTTTGCTGGTACCAGAGTGAAGACTCTAGCTAAACCCATTGTCCTGACTTTCTACCAGACTCAACTGTAAACTAAGCCTGTGATTTGTCACAGAGTTCTAAGAAATCCTGTGCCCAAGTGTGTGTTTCCCTTCACACTCATCACATGGCAGGCAAAGCACTGGTCCCAGATGGAGATTTTCAGATTGAAAGTGGAACTGACTTTTGGAAATGACTAAAACCATCCAAAGCAAAGTCTGGGAACACTTCAAAGAAGAGGTGGCTTTAGAGCTGAGGTGTGAGGAGTGATTAGGAAAGTAGGAGGAGCCAGGAGAATAACACAGTGTGCAGAGCTCTGCTCAGGGGCCGATGCACAGGAGTGGGGAAGGTGACCTGCTGGCGGTGAGTGAAGCTTAGCGGTTGTTAGGCGGGGCCGTGGAAGGGAGGCCCTAGTGACAGTGCCCACAAGGGCAGGTGATCCCTGCCAGTGACAGATGTGGGCCAGGCCAGCAGGAGGTTGAATAAGGGATGGGGAAGGAAGAGGGGGCGTGGAGGCCCGAGACCAGGTCAGAGGCCAGCACACGATGCAGCAAGCAGGGTGAGGGCAGAGCAGGAGCCCTTAATTTGTTTTTCTTAAATGGTTGCATGTGATTTTATTTCTTTAAAAACTATTTAAAGGTAAGTGAGTTTGGGTGTTTTGCATTACGGTTTTTGTTCTAGGTCGAATGGTTTTTGCATTGCTTTAATAAATAGATATTGGGCTTCCAATGGTGGCGCAGTGGTTGAGAGTCCGCCTGCCGATGCAGGGGACACGGGTTCGTGTCCCGGTCCGGGAAGATCCCACATGCCGCGGAGCGGCTGGGCCCGTGAGCCATGGCCGCTGAGCCTGCGCATCCGGAGCCTGTGCTCCGTGGCGGGAGAGGCCACAACAGTGAGAGGCCCGCGTACCGCAAAAAAATAAATAAATAAAATAAAAAATAGATATTAATTAGAACCTGAAAAGTTAATGTAAACTAAAGTGCATTTGTGAGCATCTTTGAATTTAAACTTGGCGTGAAGTGAGCACACAACATTATTGGCGTCATGCTTGGATTGTGTTTGAGAATAAAAAATGGGCTGGACATGAGATTATGAAAGTAGTCATTTAGAGAGCAGGTTTAGCTTGAGCCAACACATGCACATATCATACAGATATTTTTAAGGCTTTTAGCTTAAACCGTGGATCTGAGATACAGTTCCTGATTCAAAGAGTAATAATCGCCCTTAAAGAGAACGTTGCACTCTGCAGGAAGAGTTCCCATTTATAGTATTTATATGGCAAATAGAACGGCGGCCCTTTATTCAGAAACAGTGGGATATGTTTTTGGCTTAGGCACTTGAAACATGTTCTCCAGTCACCAAATAGCCTAAATTCTTTGTGGTGCTTTTCATATAAAAATCCAACTAAAATGCCTGTGATCAAATTTATTATTTTAATAGTAATTGAACTCCCCTCTTTTGTGGCTTGCAGGAGGTATGGATTTAGCCGCCAGAGCAAAGCAGAGAAGGTAAGAAAAGCTTGGCTAATGGGAGAGAATGTTTGAGAGACGCAAGTGCTACTTCCCTTTGCCTCTGTCCCACGCGGACAGGCTCCCAGCAGGGGTGGGACAGCAGGGCCCTGGTCCTTGGGCAACAACGGGGTTGTACCAGCAGCCTTTGGCCCCTGACTCTCCCTCGTGGCATCCCCAGTCTGTTGCCCGTACAGGCTGCGGAGCTGAGGCAACACCTCCTCATGGGACTGGAAGTGAAGGGCGATTGGAAGTCATGACACCAGGGTCAAACAGACGGCCTCTAATAACTCTAAAACTGTAGAGATGAAGTCCACTCCCAGAGCCCTTAGCACTCCTCATCTGATGAGAGAGGCCCTACACAGGTGTCAGCAGGCTGATGGCGGTGAGAGAGAGCTGGCCCTGTACTAAGACAACCTGGTGTGGAAAAAACGGAAAGTCAAGATGGGGTTTTATAAGTTCCTAAAAGAGTATCAAGGATTTCTCTTCATTCATGTATTTTTTTATATGTATCAGTATTCATTCATGGTTCTTAATTGTCAGCCGCAGGGCAGGCATATAAATCTTATAGTGCCAAACCTTTCCTGTGTTCAGGGCTCTACGTGTATTTTTTTCACTGATTCCTCTGAACAGCTCTGTGAGGAAGATACTTACTTCTGTTTTTCAGGGCAGAAAGCTGAGGTTCAGAGAGGCTCAGTGATTGGTCTAAGATCACACAGCTCCTAGAGTGCCCTAATGAGAATCTGAACCCACATCTGTGTGACATCAAAGCCTGTGCTCTTACCCACTGCCTTCTCAGTAATAACATGCTAACTAAAGTGGCCAGCGGCCTCTTAAAAACGAGAGTCCACAGCTTGAGATCTCGTAACACCTCTTCCCTCATTCCCCTCCTGACCCCCAGATTTTCCTGAATGAGACACCACTCTGCCTGCTGTTCTCCTGCCACCCCTCCTCTGCCCAGATCCCCCATTCCTCAGTCCTTCCAGGAAGCCTTCCCTGACCCCGGCCTCCCTCTGCTCTCTGTGGCCATTGTCTCAGTCCTCGGAGGGCACTGACCGTGACTTGGAGCATATGTTCCGAAGCCAGACTGGCTGGCTTCAAATCCTAGCTCCTCCCCTTCCCTGTGTGACTTTGGTCAGTATACTTTGTTGTGCCTTAGTTCACAGCATCTGTGAAATGGGGGCAGAAATTGTACTACCTCACAACGCTGTTGTGAAGATTAAAATATAAAGGATGTGGAATCATCCAACCCACAGTGCACATCTACTAAGCGTTAACGATCATCATTATTATGATTCTCATTAACAGTCATTTATGCATTCATTGTGACATCTTCTTTTTTGGTTTTCTTATTATTTCTTCCGCATTTGTGTTTTCACTCAACCAAACAGCCGTTTCCTCCAGAGCAAGGTTCTTTTTCTGGATTTGAGTGTCATGGGGCGTCTAGTGTATAAGAATTTGCTGTGTATGTGTAATATGTAATTTTAAGTCTGAAAAGAATGTCTGTGTATATGACTATATTCTGAAATAAGGCAGTTTGGTTATGATTGGAAAAATCGTGAGATGCCCATGAAATATTATTTGCATTGGCCTTGCCTTATCATTCTCATGTGAGACGGCACATTTGAACTGGAAGTCTTATCCCCTGTAGATATATGCAGGCGCTCAGGCCATGCCCCAGGGTCAGTCATAGGCTTGTTATAGAAATTCATCTCAGAACTGGGATGGTCTCAGAAGGGTATCTGAGGGCAGTCCTCTCATTCAACCCTAGAAGACCCCAGTATCCAGAGAAGGTAAGCCTGAGGTTGCCAGCTGGTGAATGGCAAAGATGGAGCTAAAACCAAGAACCCTAGACTTGCAGCCCAGGTTTGGGGAGCAGCCGTTACTCCAGGTGTCCTGAGTGTGGTGCGGTACATTTAGAGCTTGAGCTGGGTCCATAGCCTGGAGCTTGATCACCAGGGCAAGCAGTTTAGAGTCTTATTCTTCAGGCCAGTGGTTTTCCAACTTTGCCGACCACTCTTGGCAATAAGAACTCTGTTTTTCATCATGTTTCAGTACACACACACACACACACACACACCCTGCAGATACAACCCCAAAAACAAAAGTTTCACAAAGCGGTACATAACCCTTTACTACCTGTAGTGCACTTGGATGTATTGTGTTCTGTTATTTTTATTTAATTTATTTAGATGCCAATCATACCTGCTAAATTACTTTCATATCCCACTAATGGGTCTCTGTTGAAAAACAGGCAGTGATCTTAAGGCAGCGATCTGCTCTTAGCAGGAACTAAAGTAGGGGAAGACCCAAGCAAAGTGTAAGGGTAAGTCTGGCAAAGGTGTATGACCTGATGGGAATTGCGTCGGCGAACAGTTCAGAAATGGAGGCGGGCATTGGGTGAGACCCAAGGCTCCAGCTGCTTGGGCTGTGGTTGTAGTGGAAGCCCCGGTCTCTGAACCTCGCTCTCTTTCCCCGAGACTGGGTGACTTGTCCAGATCTGTGTGTTTTCTTTCACAGACTCACTGTCCTTTGCAGTGTTGTCCTTTCTCTACTGAATCTCCCACTGCAGCGCTCAGCTGTTTTCCCACCTTCCCTTCCAGGCCGAGGACAAGAAAATGGCACTTCCCACAGGGCTGTTAGCTGCAGAGAAGGCCGACGCCCGCGAGGAAGAGGAGCTTCAGGCTGCTGAAGAGGTGAGTGGTCCATGTAGCCCCTGAGGTTTCCGCCTGAGTCTTTGGGGGAAATCTCACTTTCATCCGCAGCTCTCCAGGATGGCCAGCTGCCTCTCACCACCAGCTGCTGTTGGCTGGCCTTTCGCGCCCTTTTCAGCTTCCTTTCATCACCTCTCGTGAGGCTCACCGTAAAACGAGACCGGCTGAAATAGCCCTTGGATTCCACTGCGAAGACCTATTGCAACACCCTGCTTAAGTCTCGTGTGGTCAGACCTGCTCACTGCTACCTCTCCCCGTTCTTCTTTTAGCAGCGTATTCAGTCCCTGATGACCAAGATGACTGCCATGGCACGTGAGGAGGTGAGGCAGGCATGGTCATGTGGGTGGGCGTGGTGTGGAGGTGGAGGCCCGGCACCACCCCGGCTCTGCTATGAGGGGCCTCTTCCAAGTGTCCACCTTCAGGGCCCTCTCATTTCAGCACCCTGCTTCCCGTTTTCTTGGGATCTTTCTTTTGGAAACCTTTTATACATGCACGGTGTTGCCGTCCATGGGAACCTCTAGGAGGGAGATTTGAAGGACCCATGTGAAGACAGGATGTCCCAGCTGGGATGGCATCACAGGGCCCCCGCAGGAGAGCTGTGGTTCAGCCCTGCCTCTCCATAACTGCGTGTGGCGTCCCATGCCAAAGGAGCCCTTGTTTCCCTCCTACACCATCTAGGTAGATGATAGGGTACTAAATTTATATTCATTCTTCCCAGAGCTCATGACCTGTGTTAAAAGGTTTAACCAAGTGCTTTGAAAGGAGAATTCCTTTTTAGGGCAGGAAGGGCCTGTGGCAGTCAAGAGGTAGTTCAGGAATTCTGAGATCCCTTTTCCTCTCCCATTTGTACTTTTTTCCTCTGAGTCCTATGCCTGCCAAGTTCCCTTCAGGCTCTTTTTAGTGATCCTCAGCAGTAAAATCCCTGGAATGATTTTCCAGGATACCCAGGGTTGGAGGAGAATCTAACACAGCCTGCTGAGTGACTCAGGAGGAGGGAGGTGACTTAACCTGTGCCCTGAAGCTCGTTTTCTCCCTTCCGTGTTTCCGAACCCATGAGCAAAAGCCAAATTATTTTTTCCCCCTGGGAATATTATCTATTTTACTTTAATAGTGTTCAGGGTTTCCAGTTGTGTGAAAGACAGTGCACGGCCTTGAGAACACACCCTCCCTGTGATTGCAGAGCCGTCTGACCGCTAGCTCCGTGGGCCAGATCGTGGGCCTCTGCTCTGCCGAGATCAAGCAGATTGTGTCTGAGTATGCAGAGAAGGTATGTGGGGACCCAGCTGGAGCCTTTGCCTCAGATAATGCCCCAAGGACTTCTCCTGCTTCCCTAACCCCTCCCAGCAGTGAGGGAGGCAAGTTGTAATTCATCAGCCACGTTTGTCAGAAACAGACACCATGCAGAGTCATCCGTGTTTGCCCATTAGCTGAATTCATTTTCTTCTGCAGTGCCTATTTTTCTATAAATATAAAGAGAAAACCTGTCTCTCCGAGCAATTATTGCATCTGATAAATGGATGGGTTAGGTGCAGCACCCGCATTTTTCCTTCTCTACCAGGCTCCTTATAACTTGGGCTCAGTTTGGTGATGGGGCTGAGGGATGAAACTTTGCCACTTAGCATATAAACCCCATAAGTCAGCCAAGCCCAAGGCAAAATTTTGTGTTCTGCTTTATTAAAAGGGTATAGAACGAACAAAAGCCTGAAAGTCGTATTTCAGCGTTAGATTTTTTTCCATCCTAAGAATAGGCAGCAGGACCTTGAATATTTCAGGGAGACAGTGATTAATCATTTTGCACATAACTGATTCTGGTCTGGCTGAAACGTAGTATCGGTAAAATCAGATTTACAGGACATTGTTTCACGTCCTTCCTTCCCCAGCCCTACTCAGGCTGCCCCACTAAAACGTTGATGTCTGTTGAAGCATCCAGCTTTGCTTTCCCTGTCTCAAAAGCCTTGACGACAAATTAGCTCTGCCCTGACCCTCTGAGCAATATTCTTCTGAAGCAGTTGCACAGATGATGTAGTTGGGGAACAGGTGTCACCTGTAACCTGGTAGCTATAATCTGCTGTGAACACAGCGGGTGGTCACCTCCCACCAAGTGAGGGGCCTTCTGAGGAAGACGGAGTAAAATGGTACAGAGTAGTGGTTACCAGAGGGGAGGAAGGCGGAGGGAGGGCGAAATGGGTAAAGGGAGTCAACAGTACGGTGACGGATGGAAACAACTTTTGTTGGTGAACACACTTTCAGAAGTCGAAATAAAGTGTTGTACACATAAATTCATGTAATGTTATAAACCAGCTTTTTAAAAATGGCATAGAATGTCTGGGGAATGGAGTTCTATTGTTTTCCCCGCCCTCCAAATCAATGCTTCTTAACATGGGTTTTCTAATCCAACTATCATAGAATCCAGAGTATCCTGTATTTTAATTTACCACCTAGAAAAGGTGACAGTTGTCAAAGTGTCATCTGAGATTTGACCGGAAAAAGATTTAGGTCATCCTAAAAGTACCAGTAAAATCAAAAGACTTGAAGACATAGTTGTGGAGAGAGTGGTTAATTCACTGCCCTAAGAAGAAGGTATCTTGGTTTCCAGTCAGCACACACACCTGGATGGCAAGAGGGTGAGTCTGTACCTGCCCTTAGGTCGCCCCATGGCATTGCTGAATCCAGTTTTTACCAAAAGACAAATGGATGGGGCACTCACTGCTGTTCCTACAGGGACTCTGATTTTTATCTTCATACTTGCCCACTGCAAGCAGATAGGAGCTCAGATGATAAGAGGGGAAGCAAGTAGGCAGACCCTCCTTAGTATACCTGTCCTTGCTTGCCAGTCTTGAAGCTTACCTGCCTTCCCCATCAGCTCAGCAATTCCTGCTGGACCTCTATCCCCTGAGCGTTCCCTACCTCACCCTTGTACAGTGATCCGATGGCTGCATTCTGTATTCTTGCTTCTCTGCATCTGTTCTGTTCTTCCAGAAAAGAGTGAGATAGTAGTTTTGGACAGGTCTTTTTCCAAGGACGTATATAATTAAAACTTCTCATGGAGAATTGGAGTTCACCAGTTCATTGCTTGATTGTCTGTGTTATTTGCATTAAATATATAGCATTAAAGACAAGTATTTTTAAAATTAAATTGCCTTTAATCCTGTTCCCGTATCACAGTTATCTCACATTTGCATATTTAATCCAGTGTTTGTCCCCAGATATCCATGGTAACACCTAGTTGCAATCATCATGTGTGTCTAGAAGAGGTAGAACAGTGTAGTTACAAACACAGCATTGGAGTCCTATCTTGGTTCACGCCTGTCTCCTCAACTTCCTAGCTCTGTGACCTTGGGCAGTCTATTTAACTTCTTTGCTCTAGTATCTTCATCTATAAAATGGGAATCACATAACTTTCCTGGCACGGCGTTGTGAAGATTAAATGAAATGTGAACAAAATGCCTAAAACAGTTCCTGGCACGTTCTAGCCATGCACCTACTGGTAGGCTTTATTTGCACTTGTACCATTTGCTTTTTTTTTTTTTTTTTGGTCACATCAAATTCTAAACATTTTCCATGTTTCCAGTCTTCAGAATAGTTTTCACATGGATCTGATAAAGTAATCCATTACATTTCAGCTCATTTTTTATTATGTTTAATCCTTTAACCTGTGTAGAGTTCATTTTTATTTAGTCTAAGTGTACATTCATCCTAGTTTTCCTGCTCCTATCCACTTGATATCATTTATCAAATAATTTCTTTAGACTCATTTGGAGATACTTTGTTATATTTTTGTATTTTAGATCTAATTTAAACTATGTATTTTCTTGCTTTATCGGTTTAAACTTCTATTTTTATTCAAGTTGCATGGTAAAATCATGTTTGCTTTTTTGTTTTTGTTATTTGCTTTATTTGTTTGCTATAGTCTTGTCAATATCCTCCAGCCAAAGACCACTAGGAACCTACCCATAGTTGAACAAGTTGGGTTTATTGCTGGTTGTAGTGAGGGAGACCACACACCAATGGGGAATGATGCAGCATCTCAGTAAGGAGGCATCAGAAAAGACTTACGGGATTCAGACTTGTTTTAGGGGATTTGGGGGAAGCTTCAAGAAAGTAGAGCTTTGCTCTGTGTCGTATGCCTTAAGGAGGGGCAATTCAGTGAATAGTATCTAAAGAAATCTATGAGACAAGGGCAGTGAATCAGGGTTGAAGCTGTATGCCCATGTTAGCTGGTATAGGGGGATGTTTGATCATTTAGGGGATTTGAACAATGTTCAGGTTTTTGTCCGTGTACAAACATGATTACAGAGTGGTCGATGCTTGTGCGTGTCTGATGTTGCTGTTCTCTGGGATACTTTATATTTAACACCAAAGTCTAGTATGAGTGCAGGCCAGCTCCCAGCAACATCAAGGCCTTGCTGAGAGTACCAGATTAGCTCTCAGATGTCAGGGGCTGCTTTTCTCTTTCTCTGAATTTAGTTATGTATTGCTACACAGGAATATTACATAAATGCGGTGGCCTAAAATAACATAGTTTATTATTGCACTTTCTGTGGGGGGTTGGCACAGTGTAGCAGGGTCCTTTGTTTCAGACTCTTACAAGATTACAGTGAAGGTGCTGACCTGCCCTGCGGTCTCATCTGAGGCTTGACTGGAGAAGGATCCACTTCCAAGTTCACATGGTTGTTGGCAGCATTCAGTTCCTTGACACCCGTTGGCTGAGGTCAGCAGTTCTGGCAGTCAGCTGGAGGCTGCCCTCCGTTCCTTGCCAGGTGGGCCTCACCAACATCACTTATTTCATCAAAGCCAGCAAAGGAAGCACCTCCCCACAAGACAGACATTACAGTTTTATGTGACATAATTATGTACATGCAGTTACATGCATCCCACCGCGTTTGCAGAGGCTGTGGGGCTCTGTTAGAGTTGCCCACCACAGCGTATTTGTTTTTCTCTTTAATCTTACTGCCATACATCGGGCTGAAACAGGGCACTGGCAATCCATCTAAAAATCCATGCCCCTGCCTTCCTGGCCTCAGTAACGAAACCCTTGAAAGTAGAGATGGGATTGAGGAATGCTCAGGAGGAAAACTTTTGGTGGCACTTGAAAGAAACCCAAATCAGGCTGAGATCAGGATGGATTTTTTGCTTAGTGAAGAAAAGGGACGCAATGATTTGGGGAGGATGAAAGTGTGAAAGTGATTTTGTGAGTAGGGAATGAATCAAACAGCCTGCCTGGTGCGAGTGGTTGGAAAGTCGACAGGCACTGAGAAATAAAAGTGAAGTAAAAAACATGTGCAGGCTTCTCTTTCATTTGTAAAGTTCACAGGTTCTTACAACAGTGTAACGTGGTACGTAATCCGTGTTTTTCAGAGCAAGTCCCTGAGATACATAACTCAGTTTAATATGGTTCCTGTAAAGCAGGGAAGAGGAATGTGAATAAGCTTCCAGATATATAATTCATGAGTGTCAGCAGGCTCTGGCCAGGGAGCACCATTTCCCTTTGTTTCCAGAGGATGACACTCTTCCCAGAATGTACTTGGTGAGGCACCACTGTGCTTCGTGGTGTTACTGTCCAACATGCTCACTGCATCGTAGCATTCATTTTTGCAGGGAAGAAGAATCTAGTACTGTGATTTGCAGAAAACTAAAAGCTTGACTGTCCCCAAAATACTTCCACTGTACTATCCCAGAAGGAAGGAAAGGAAGGTGAGCCAGGCAAGGCTGGGCCAGGGAAGGTGCAGGGTGCCTAGAAAGGCAGGAAGGGACTCTCCTCAATGCCACATGTTAACCAACTGTACACCATTTTGACTCATCTGCGGCTAAATCATTCTTGGTCAACATCTCCCTGAGACAGGATCTGAAAACATTTTGTACATCTAGAGGCACAGATCTGTCTTGGGGAATCAGAAGAATCTACCCTGAGTGCCTTCTCAGTGCCAGGTGCTTTAAAAAAATTTTTTTTTTATTAAAGTATAGTTGATTTACAACATTACATTACTTTTGGGTGTACGGCATAGTGATTCAGTATTTTATAGACTATACTCTGTTTAAAGTTATTACAAAATAATGGCTGTATTTCCCTGTGCTATACAATGTATCCTTGTTGCTTATTTATCTTATACATAGTATTTTGTATCTCTTAATCCCATACCCCTATCTTGTCCCTCCCCCAACCCCTCTCCCTACTGGTAACCACTAGTTTGTTTTCTATATCTGTGCATTTGTTTTTTTATAGATTCTGTATATAAGTGATAACATACAGTATTTGTCTTTCTGTCT